GAATAACATTAGCTTGAAACAGAGATCTCTGGCGTGGTTTTCTTCTTCAATCCTGTATCCCAACTACGGGTATGTCGGAAATAGCAGTTGATGGCTGCACTTGGTGCGGGATGTGCTCGCACATGGAGGTTGCAGTGGTCTACATATGCACTGCTGAAGGACGCGTAAGCAGTGAAAACTTTTCTGATCCCTATCCTTTCTTCCTTTCTGTTCTCTCTCACGAGACAACCACTTCCTGTACCTTGCCATTCCCTTCATGCTCTTCCCTTCTACCATCTCATGACAGTCAATCATGGTCTTCGCCTCCACCTAAGTCAAACCCCATGTCCCCATTCGAGCCATTCCACTCCACTGCGTAAACCCTCACCATTGATCATTACCTCCGTAACAATCATTTTTCACCAGGGTATTTAAGCTTATTCCGAGTGAGCACATATGATCATAAGCACTCTCCTACTACCACAATTCATCACCCCATCGATTCGGATTATAACACAAGTCTGTCAAGATTTGTGCTATGAGAACCAGGCTGCAGACTGAACAAGAAGATGAAATTAATTAAGTATCGGAATAACCAAAAACCAGTGAAGGTCAAGAAACGAGAAACAAGCCATCACAATTTAAGGAAAGCGTTGACTAATAGTCCCCACACGGGAGGTGCAGGTACATAATACATCGATGTATATGCGGTCTAAATCGTACGTATTCGAACCACAGGTATGTGCAACACCATTCAGCGGTGTAGCCCTATCTATAAGGCCCATGATGTAAATCTAAGTCCGGACACCCCCATCCCACTTTCTAATGCTTTTCGACACTCTCCAATAGAATCAACCAGGCTTGAGAGACCGGAAAACATTGCATGATTGAAAGGAATGGATGAAATGGGTGGAAGAATTGTTTTATAGATTTTGATTCCTTACTCCTTTCGCAAAGTGTTTTGTTTCTTGCCTTATTTCCGATAGAAGCACGAGCGGATAGATCGGCACCTATCTCGGTAATCAGGAGGTGTGGGAGGCTGGTGCCAGGAATAATGAGCAGAGTGGGACGTACTCGAGTGCTCGTACAAGTAACAATCCGAACCCAGCCCCTCACACCCTTTAATCAAAAAATATTCCTGAGGTGTAAAAAAATTGAGAGTCGGATAGTATCCCCTGGGCACCCCGGGGCAGTCCAATCCGCCAGGTATGCTACTCTTGTCCTGGAGTGATTTGAGCTTTATGATTTATTGAGAATATTAAAACACATCAAGCCTGTCTAGTCATTTGTGTATTGTAGGAAAGACCAAAAGTCGAGTCTTCGGACCGGAGTTAACCGCTGCCAAATCCATCTTTAGTTTTCCTGACGACGAATACGACAAGAGATAATCCAAAATCCTTCCAAATGTCTTTCCAAGTGCCCAGAGATTATTTAAAAAAGAAAGAAGAAAAAAACTATTGGCTGCTCTGATGTGCGATATTGTGACCCTAAAGTTCGAAGCGCCGGTTGGGCTATTTCCCATTCAAAACGATCAGAAATTGCACTAAAATCGATGCTCTGGTGGGTCATGTCTGCCTTTGCAATTGTTCGTCCGGTTTATATACAGAGCTTTAAAGGTTCAGAAAGCAAAAACGGGGATATTTCACATATGTGGGGTTTTGGTTGAATTGCAGATCAGTTCACTAGATCAATACCCCATAGGACGTGAAGACGACCCTCACACCACCCATACTTTTTGGAGCTAGGTCCTTACGGGAATTCCGTTTAGAATGGATGTGGGAAATTTTTTATTGCGGCACACGGATATCTATGGGGTTGTTGTCGCATCCTATATGGTCACAGTCACTAGTTTGAGAGTTGATAAGGAAGGATGAGACAAAAAGACTGAACTCTATCCTCCCACCACAAGCCACTGCTTCCACCACAATGCAATCCTAATAGCCGCTTTATAAGCAATTATTTCATTCACGAACTGCCCAGAGACTATAAACAAGGGAATTACATTGCCGGGTATGGTGGGTCGCCCGGCACGGCCGACGGTCAGCGATGCTCGGTAGTGAGCAACCACTCTCCAAAACCAAGTGTCTGTCTCCGACCTTACCTACGCACAAAAAACCGCTCCATCTCACCTCTTTGGTAAGGGTTGCACTTATTATACATCCCACAACCCCCCGGCACCGCTACAGACACTGGTCTTAAAGGATATTTATCAAAACACAGTAACTCCCCCCTCCTCAAGGCTGGCCCAGGAGAGTACTCGAGCACCATAACCGAAATAGCACCACCGGTGGCTATACCTCTAAGGTAGGCTTTCGATATTGGCGGGTGCAGAACCCGTTGCTCCAGGCGTTCCTAGCGTAGCTGAACTTCTTGAAGCTAGAGTTACTAAACCAGTAACGTTTCTGCTGTGTACTTACCGGTTCCCAGGGAGCATCATCGGGGACTCAATCGTGGCTGTAGCTGTTCACACATTATGGTTGTTAATCCTGCGCCTGCGCCCGATCGTCGCGTTGGGGAGAGTGGCCTGAACCCTTGAGGTTCGGAGCCACAAGTAGGGGAGTATTTTCCCCTCGGGGGAAGAACGAGGCCGGAGGAGTAGAAGCAGGGGCATGAAGAAGAGCAAGAGCGGGAATAATACAAGGAGCTTGGGCTGGAGGGAAACAGAGGGCGATGCATTGTGGTCTTTTTTATTCGCTTTGCGTTTCAACGCACTATACCCCACATTTTCTCACCGATAATTCTCTAGTATCGAGACTCTGTATCCTGCCTGTCCAGTGCGACTCCGGAGACAGCCCTCCATCCCCTTTTCCCAGACCCCCAAAGAACAGTAGCTACGACAGCCCAGTTTGTACAAGCTACCTTACCCAAAGAGTGCGTCAGTCACATTCCCATACCCGATAGGGCAGAGATTAGGGCTGCGGCGCCGGGTAAACTTCCCTACCCGGGTATGACATACTAATTTTGTTTACACTGTGTAAGGTAGATAGCTACTGCTTCATCGTGAGTAGGGAGGCAATAATTTCTTCCACTCGCCAATGGTCGAATACACCATCATCACCCCCCATTGCCACCCCCCACCCGTTTTCCCAGACCCCGGTCTATTAACCCCACCTTGACAGTGCCATTAGTGTCTCCCAGGAGGGGTAGTAGCAAGGTTATCACCTCACCATTGAATGATCAATTGTCAACAGTCAAAGGCCAACTCTTATTACGAGGAAGCAGCAAACAGAGGACAACCCCTAAAAAAGTAAAATTCAAATGGTCTCCAGCTGTGCAGTAAACTTGATAGTTCGCACAACCCCCCTCTCGTCTCAAGTAGTCGCTAATACTCCGTTTACCTTTATTTCCCCAATCCTTCAAGATAGATATCCAGGAGGAATATCCCCAAAGAAAGGCAGAACCCAGGCCAATGCCTTCCTTTCTTCCTAGCGCCCGATATACTTACAGCATTACTAATGGTGGTGCTTTTTAAGCTCTGTCAGCAGTTTTTTGCCCCCCCTCTCCATGCAGCAGCTCCCTTGTTGCCGTCACACGGGCTATTGGAGGATAGAAGTGGGTACGGCAAGCTTGAAAGGCGATAATGTTTAGAATACGAGGAGGTGGTTGAAAGACAAAAAGGGCGTCCAACTCAACCATTTTCATTACCCATGATTATAATTCTAAGAGACTATTTCACAGACACTTTCGCCTAATGGCTGTATGGATAGTCCACCTCTCAATACCATCAACGGTCAACTTGGACGACGACCTCAGCGCTCCGCAGGAGAGAAACACATTCCTTTCAAGTTTCTGTAGGACTGTATCAGTCTAGCAAACATATAGCTACTAGGAATAGTTCTAACCGACTTCCTATCATATCCCACTGAGAGGCTTTAGGTTACTTCTATCTATTTTGTGATTTTTATTGTACATTCCGTTAATTTTTCCTTTTTGAGTTTGATCTATATACCGCACCGCACCAGCCGTCTCTAGGCAAATCACTTTATACTTGTGGCCGCGCACCTGGCCCAAGTGCATAGTTCGCTATTATATCTTTTTCTTTAGACCTTAATCCACCGTTTAATCCCATGTCTTTTTCAGAGCTACCATATGGGAAGCCCACACAATACTCTCGATACATCTGGCAACGCTCTACACAAGCCATTACGCGCTGCTCGCTGCGCCAGGTAGTAGTTTACAGAAAACTTCACTTAGTATAGAGTGTGTAATGTTCAGCAATCTTTCTCCACTCCCCCACACTGTTCCACAGCTGAATGGCCAGAGACCCTGCCGGCAACTAGCTAGAGCTCAGCTCCGGGAGATGAGGAGTTCGAGCGGGGATCCTATCCACCGCTTCAGTCCAATAAATACTTACGCCTGTCGCTGTAGATTACCAGCTGATTCCCAGATAACCTGAAACCTATCCTGAACGAGCAACTGAGAGGAGTAGAATGGCAGAGCAGATCGCAACCCCAATTGGGAGCCACGGATCTTCCCATTGAATTCCCAGTAAATTCCCAGGAAAACTGTCTAAAGGGTATCTAATCCGGATGCCTTAAAGGTACAGTCCACCAATCAAGATCCAGAACTGATTATAAAACTGCCGAAAAAAAAAGCCACAGTAGGACGGATTCTTCTTCGGTGGAAACTTCCGCTCGATCACTGACCTTGGCATTCTCTGATCGCCTGAAATTTCAAGTGCTGTTGTTTATTTCTATCCACGAAATTTTCTAGTTATGCAGGCAGCCAGAAGAAGAACTAGCCGCAGGAAGAGAGCATGAAATTCTTTTCATCATTGACGGGGTTTCCAAAAAGGAATTGCATTACCACTTCCCCTTCAATTGATGGAGACAGTAGAGGAGTTTCCAAAGGCGCACAACAAGAGAGTCTGAGAAAACTATATAAACCCCCTCCCCTCCTGCTGAAGGAATCCTCACCAGCAGTCTCTTCAGCGAGTAAAGCAACGCCAACAATATCCACAACCTTCCCTAAATATCCACGATATCTCTCTTTCGGTGTTCGTTCCCAAACCTCTTCGAAAAATGAAGTCCTCATTCATCACCTTTATCAGTCTCTTCTTGTTCCTCATAGGCACAGTTGGTAAGTTTTCTAGCGACTTCCACAGAACCCTTCCTATGCTAAGTACAGAAAACAGTTGCGGCACCCAGTGCCCTCGATTCCACCGAGATTGTCAAGAGACAGAACTTCCAAGAGGTGGACGCAATTCTCGGAACCGCAAAGGCCGACATTATCCAAACCAACACTGCCTACAGTCCGTTTTCAAACCAATCATTGATAGATGCCCCGAGAGCTTAGACTAATGACATTTCCAGATGCTACCAGCCCAGTAACGACTGCTACTGTGACTTCGTACTGCAACGATATCATTGTAATCATCAATATTGCCATCACCGAATGTGGGAAGATTCCCCCCAACCACAAGTTCCTCAACATCACGTTGATTGCCAATATCTTGTTCGATATCCTCTGCGAGATCAACTTCACATTGAGTCTTCTTCTTTCCAAGTGCGGACTTCGTATGTCTCCTTATCCCACACCCTTCATGACTTGTGCCTCGGGTGCTTAGGCTAACCGCACACAGTGGGGGGGCTCTTAATAGTCATCATTGTTCTTGTCAGCGGGCTCATCCTTGCCCTTAACACCCTCCTCATTGTGGTTGCAGGAGTGTGCGTCCCCGGCCTCTTGGCGCTCCTCCTCGCCCTCATCCTCAGCCTTCTGGGCCCCAATTGCTTGATCCTCCTCTGTGGCCTGGTCCTTTAGGTGTTGATACCGCTTTGATACTCACAAATTCACAACTGTGAAGGGTTTGTGATGAAATATCTATATGGCGGATTGGAGGATGGATATTATCAGACTATAGGTGGAGGATATTTCTGGATTATCTTGATGGGTTCATTTCTGAAATGTCGGGAAAGCCATTCACTTCGTATCGTATCTATAAAAAATAAAAAATAAAAATCCCGACGCTTTCACCATGCAAAATTTCCTCTCAATGAATGTGATAACCCATACGTGGGTATATTTCGGCATTGGGTGACCCCTCTCTTTCTGATTTTCTTCGGTGGAGCAAAGAATCTGAAGACTCGACTTCCGGGTATCATATAGCGTAAACATTACATATCAGTAGGGCCATTCCACCAACTCAAAGATAGTGAAGAAATTACTGAGGCTTTCATCCTGCCCCTCTCGTTTGATCATCAGGCCGTACTGTAGGTTCCCAGTACAGCAAGGTGCAAAAATTGTGTTAAGGGCAGTGGGCATTAAGGAAAGAAATCCAATACTAGTACCCCATGCTTAGAGGTATGGTGTGTGAAAACAATCCCCCATTACACGCCCTCCAGGTGATCTAACATCCAGAAGCATAAACTGCGGTCCCCGTATACTCCAAAACTACCGACGGTGGCTAAATCTTGCACGAATCAGTACTGTAAAAAAAAAAAAAAAAAAAAACTAACCTTAACATCGAGACCTATCCGGTCCCAATACCCCAACCGGGACACTACAGGCAGGCTATGCGGACCCAAGGGAATACAAAAAGAGCACCACACAACACCGGTAACCTAAATTCGCAATACGGGAAAGCATCCCACACCCCGAGCGCCGCAAGCGATGAAACGGGAATATACAGTACTCGAGTACCAGGCCCCAATAAGTCCAAAGAAATAAGTTCCCCCCTAGAGCCAATTTGGTGCTAGGCCCGTTTACCGAAGCCAGTGACGGGGGTGCTCTTGAGCTCTGGGGTTATTAAGATAGCCTTTCACACCCGGAAAAACTGCATCATAAACTGATTGCAGAATGCTTACCACGCGGAGCGCGCGCTGTGATTGGATAGTAGCAACCTCGCGCGCGGTGAGCACCAGCGGGCAAGCCGTATCCGCCTTGCGCACAAGCAGGGTTCTAGCATAATACCATGCATACATACCGCACAAACGGACAAGATACAGTATCACAAGGTTTTCCAGATCTGAACTGCCGGTGGCGGGGAGGAAAACTGGCAAACAGGCTCATTCCGGGAGGCATCCAGGGACTTAGCTGCCAGGTCCCTCCCAGGAAGCTTAGCTGCTCAGGTAGCTTGTTCGTATATCAATCAGAGTACAGTCTCCACCGGGAGCACGACGAATCTAGGCGGGAAACCGGTCAATTTTTGTTACCCTGCTTTAACGAATTCACTTTTGCTACCCCCAGTTCTGTCGCGCCCCCGGTGAAGACTGTAACCGGCCGATTAGGAATGCTCAATAACCCTATAGGGAACTGGGTCGTTGCTGGAAAGGGTGGCTTCGCTATTTCTGCTCGTACTAGGCCAGAAAATCTGCTTTGAGGACACATACGGATACATACAGATTTCCTCATAATGCTACCAGCCCAGAGCTGCTCCCTGAAGGCCCCGGTGTGCTACATATCCTCAAAATGGTTTAAAGGCTGCGCCGCACAGCTTTGTGGCCTCGCCCCAACCGTATCGAACAGTCTTGAACCGTGAAGTTACACAAAGTTAACCAGCAAATATCGTCCAATCCCGGAGCCCCGGGGTTACCCGTGGGGTACTGGAATTGTTTTCAGTCATGGTGGGTCACTCCTCAAGTCATTGTAAATTTAACAACAGAAGGCCTCTCTCTACCTTTCCTGTGCCACCAATCCACGGCTGAAAGGGGCCGGCTGAAAGGGGCTGCATTCGAAGAAGCTTGCCTGTGGCGGACCTGCTGTAGCCGAGAGAATTTCTTGGACCCCGCGTATAATACCCGAGTTATACCATCTGTATTATGCCGTCTGCGGAATCCTGCCGAAGGACGCAACCCAACATGCTGTAAAAACAAATTCGAATAATTAGACCGTGTGCTATGTAGTCCAAAATTCCCTTCTCTGGAAAGAGGGCAAAAAGCGCAGGAAAAACACAACCCCTTTCCCCCTTCCGAGACAAAAAAAAATCTGGACCTTACTAAGACAGGAAGCCGTAGCACATGGTCCAACCACCCTGGTTTCTCCAGTACTCGAGTACCGGTAGACCAACTTGACACGGTAGTGAGAGCACCGGATTGTGGTACGTGCCACAGTTGCACATCACACCGGCCCATCGTTCGGCACATATCTTCATTAGGGTTGGGCCACTCATGCATCGAGTGCAGGCTCTTACCGCAAAAGAATACCTGGTGACAGATATAAGGCAAATGATGAATGAGGCTTCTACGCCTATCGAAGTGGTTCTGCCCAACGATTGGATCCATGGTCCCTAATCTCTAATACACACCTCACCCCCCGGAACCCAAAATTCGGGTTACTCAACCCCACGATAATAATACAGGCTAACCCTCCGGACAACACTGCGAGAAAGAAAAACAAGGTCATTTTCGTTTTCAGTCCACCGCCTCTCCCCAGGTCTCACTCAAAATTATCTCCTGTTGGCAAGTACCCAGCTATTCTTGTGACATTCGAATGCAGAGGGGGTTCCTGTCAGACTCACAGAGATACTGAATCCCTCGGCAGGTAAACAAGGTGCTACTACGACATCCGCTGGGAAGATTACTGCAAGAGGGGAAATAGGAACTTACATGCACGCAATCACTGCCGGGCCGGACTTCCCCAAAGCACTTCGATGAAAAGGTCAGTAACTGGTCAAAGCTAGGCTCAAAAATATTGGCGTCCCCCAGACGACAATTTTTCCTGAGAAGTTCATACGGTACGATCCCAGACACCCCTCAGCTATTTCCTCATTTCCACGCTACTCATAAGTCTTGGCCAGTCAACATTCCAGGTATCATACCATTGGATTCAGTATTAACAATCTGGGCGATAGAGAGGAAAGCCATAGATATATTAGCCAAGTGTTATTGGTCAAATAATCTTGACCAAGACTATGTAAGGAGGGTTGTCCAGGGTAGTTAACTAATGCAGGAGGTGTCTAATATCTTGACTGCCCTTGGTTCTCCCCTTTTCTCCAAAACTTCCCAGATGATACTCCCTCGAACAGCCTTCAACCCCCCCAAGATCCCTCCCTTTCCGCACCAAGAGCATGCCCAACAATTATTCCTTCTTTCCAATATAGTTTCCCTAGAGCGCGGGAACCCCTAACAACCCCTCTCGACACAGGATACCCCTTAATCCATGAGTCGAAGAAAACCACTTGACCACATCTCTTCCCGACTATCGATAGTAACCCGGGTTGCACATGCAATAAGATCCATTCCTTTAAACCCTATCACGCAAACGAAATCCCACACCTGAAGAGGTCCCGTCCCTGCGAAAATATTATCTGTGTGGGGAGCGATGCCATACATCCCGCCGTTTTCTTAAATTGTTCATAAACACCAGACATGGGTGAGACTTATGCCACCCTATTAATAAACCTGCGGCCAATTACCCAATCAACGACTCAAGACTACCAGTGCCGAGGCATCCTGGGATCCCATAATAGAGCTGCAATAATACAAGTTTATTCTCTAAATGAGTGGGGGTCACCCACAGATAAAAAGAAATTACCCATGAATTCACCACACACACGGGAAATCTAACAGAAAAAAGGAAGAGGGATCGGCAGAGGGGTTGTATCGGGATCGACACTCCCGAAGCGCCGCCGTCACCGGTGGTATAGTATTGGACAGAATTGGCCTCTGAGGTGACATCACAGGCGCGCCCGGGCGAATGAAGCGGCGCGGGGATCACTTCTACCCCCTGCACGTATCACCATCCCATGTACAAGTACGAGTACTCGAGTAGTAAGGCTCCGTAACGATAACATCACCCCGTGAACCTGTCATCCGAAGGATGGTCACAGGAAGTGGTTACATTCGAGTGATATTCCGTGACAGAGCCAAAAATAGAGGTTGCCGGATTGCAATGGAGAAACCAAAAAAAAAAGGCACCAATTTCCCACCGAGCGCCATCACTAACCGAAGAAGGTATGGAAGAAGAGCTCCCGTACTCTAATGATCTCTCGAAACTATGATACCATCATGATAGAGTACTATCCAACATTCCATTATCTTCAACCAGCGTAGGGGAATAACCAGTCTCTTAACGCGACCCGCACGGCACTACCGCTAGGAACCAAAAGCGGAAACGGCTGCTCTTCCTGCGGTTGGATGGGACACGACAAAACGCAAGACCAGCAAGCAGACCGCCGATCGGACATGTGCCCGGACCAAGTAACAAACTTGTTCGGTAGACTTGGTCAAACCAGCGTGTGGAAGTGACAGCGGCCTACCCCGCTGCCACGGGCGATAGCACGCTGTAGCGTGTGCGAGGGTTTTGCTCACACAATAGCAAATAGTCATCCAAAAACAAATTAAGCTTAGGAATAGACAAGTACGGCAATTTGGGTAGATACGAAATTCATGTTTGATGCTTTATACCAGACCCAGGGGGTCCCGGTGGTGTTGACCTATTCCTAATACAACGGCGAATCCCAAAGAAAAGAGCTCTAGAAAGACATTTGGATTTGTGAAAAGATCCGTAACCCAGGAGAGCCTGAGAAAGAAATCCAATCGCCCGAAATACTCCAAAAACCGCGGCGGACACCAACCCCCTAGTTCCCCCAGAAAAGTAAAGCCTGCAGCGAAGCGGCCCTGATGGCCCGGAAATTCCGGAAGGGGAAGTCTTATTTCCTTTTCGAATTGTCTAGCGATATCCTGGGATCCCATCTTTTTTTTTTCCCCCTCCCTGCCGGGCCCACCACAATTGCAAGAGCTTTCGCAAACCGCGATATTTTCGTGGTATCATTTGACAAGCTGACTGAACAGGGCATTCGCATCCGACTGGCTGCTACTACTGCCTCGGTCCTTGATCCCTTAACCTAAATAACACCCGATTTACCATACCTCTTTTAGATTCCGATTCAACCCACCACAAAATTTCGTATCATTCTTCCCAAAAGCGACCAATTAACCACTTAAAGCCTCACGTCAGTTGTGCAAACAGTATCTATCTAGCCGGGCTGTTAATGCGGTCCCCCTTCTCAGCCAACACCCATTCGGCCGGAAATCTCGAGACTCTCTCTGCCCGAGGATTGCCGCGTTGTGGAAATAGGTCAAAAACCTGTGCTTCCTGGTGGCGGCGGATTCGGATGCGACTTGACTCCAGAATCGATGAGAAAATCTGTTGGGAGAAACCCAGCAGTGGCTAGCTCTGGATGCTGAATCATAGCTGGTCTGCTTGCAGTGTCGTGACCACTTACGTGCCCCACCGGGAGAAACATTGTTAGAAGTACCGACCAAAATGGTATGGGCATGTACACCCGGAGGGGCGATGGAAGCAAATACGAGAGGATTCAAGAGAGGATTATATGTTGTCGTACTGCACAAGAACCCACGGTGCTGTAATAGCAATATAGCGGAGCTATATATTCGACAATGGTGGTATTCGACTGCAGTGATCTCTACTCCAGACTTACTGCCTTAGGCCCTTCTATGGAACAACTTGGAAGCCAGGCTTAACAGTATGGCCGCCGTGTCGTGGGTCTTGCAAGAGACAGGGTTCAGGGCTTGCCGCTGGTAAGCATAATTATTCTAGATATTCAAGATTGGGTTGCCAGTTTCCTGCCGTCAAATGTGAGAGCTAGAGAAGCCAGTGGGGGTTCCGTGCGGTAGCAGAAGGTCCTCACAAAAGAATTTGAAGCCCCTATCCCGCAGGCCTCCTGGAATGGTTTTTTTCTCTCTATCCAGCAAATGCGAACTATCACCCCTTCTTGGTCAACAGCGCATCTATTTCCTATTTCTCCTACATCATCGCAATTTCTTAAGGGCCCAGACTAACGGAAACAACTTGAAAACAGCATCTACCATAGCACCAGACTCGCCGTGCAAGGGTTCCAGAGATTCCATGTCTAGGAAACATGGTTGGGAATATCCAAAAACGACCACTACCGAACTGCTGGATCCGAACTGCCCCAGATGCTTTAGTGAGCCAGTGGCTACCCGCCCTGGAGGTGGGCACACTGAGACCGGAAACGAGCATCCAATATAAACAAATCTCCCCGAGGTGTAACAGTGTTTGGGTGGGCAAGGACGCGACATACTTCCTCCATTGGTCCCAAGGAAGAGAAGTTAGGAAGGTGAGCAACTCTCGATGATCTTATACCTCTAGTTATAATAAATGCCGAGTCTAATCGCAATACTCTCTAGACCCAGTTCGTCGGTGTTAAAATGTGAAGAAAGGCTTTTGTCCTTTGAAATTCCTAACGAATTTCAATATTTCGGAACCCGAAACGGCCCCTCTAAGACACCCCCCATACCGATGTATCGTGGATTGATCTGCGACAGCTCTCCCTTAATTGCTAAACCCCCGATTGTCAGCCGGGAGCCTCGTAGCACTAAAGCAGCTGGTGGTCAGTACTCTATCACTTGGTCTTGATCGGAAAGGAGGTTAGCAGCTTACGACCATGAACTTCATTCCTCCCCCAACACCGACCCCCCCCCCCCCCCACCCAATTCAGGTACGCATTCTATGAATCGCCACAACGACAACCACCTCCCGAGGCTACCACCCGGTGAATTCAGACAACCGCAGAGCCCCCCACCCCAACCCCTCCTACAGTCTCTTCACCATAGCCACTATAGGGGCCAGGTGGTCAAGTTATACCAGGTGATCCCACAATTTGGGGCACCGACTACGAGACAGAATGTTATAATCTCCATGGTGGGGTACAAGATATTCGAACGGGGATGGTCAAATCGCTAGGTTAGGAACACGGAGCTCCTACAGAGGAAGCCGTTACTGATAACCCCCCACCAGATTATTTGACGCCAGTGCAGTAGAAACTCCAGACACCACGGGAACGAAACAAATCCAGAACACGTGGATGTGTAGCCGGAGAAAAGCTGTCGAGCCAAAACACCAGCGATCTGCAGGCGGCGGAATAACACCTGAACATTATGATACAAGATCCCTGAAAGCTTTTCTCCATAAACTAAGCGATAGCCTAACAGTCGGATATCCTCCGGGCCCGGAGCTCCTATCATATCCTACCATGATATCTACACAGTCCCTGGACCCAACCGCACCAGAACCCTTGTACAGCAGCGTCCAGAACCCACGAAATAATCAGACCCAGACAAAAGTACTGTTCCCTAAGCGCCGTAGCTAGAGTCGTATGTGTGCCTACTTAAGAGTTTAAGCTCCGTCTCTTGAAAAGGGCATCTTACGGTATCTAACTCGGTTGTGCGGGGATGCTCTGCACACCGGGGGCTTTTGTAGGTAGGTTTTGGTGTGTCATAGGTAGGGTGAAGGGTGGGGCGCCAGCGGCGGAGTGGGTTGAAGTGGGGGTATGAGGGCGGGTTTGAGAATCAAGGCTGGGGGGGAGGGCCCGGGTGATAGAAGCTAGTGGGTTAAGCTGTCTACGTGTGATGTCAAAAACTGTGGGATAATAAACTCCCGCGGGTTGCCAGAGCCCCAACAGTTAGATCATTCTAGTATTATCTAGTCGTCTCCCGCATCACAGCGCATGAAAAATCCAACGCATTTTCCAGCTTATCCTATATCCTTAAGAAAGTTTATAACCTCGGTCCGACCCTGCACTTTAGCCACACATTCAACGTGGAGAGCTCCAGTGATCACAACCCTCCGGATATGTCGATCCCCTCGCGAAATCTGTTCAAGAATACCTTCAACCTCTACTGCCTCTTCTTTCGTGACAAGTTCATCCTTCTCAGCCCGCAACGTCACTATATCCACCCCAGCATTCCTTTCTGCAATTTCCTTAACTGCTCCACGCACATCCCAATGATTTCTCAAAAATGGTGATAGATATCTATACGGTAACCAACGTTGTGGATATACCGCTACAAGCATACTATCAACACTGACGAATGGTGTTTCCATAATCAAACCCTTGATGCGTATAGGCATTTGACGCTCTGGCGCTTGAAGGTAATCTGCCCATCCCTTAAGAGCTATACCACAACCAATACTCTGGCCCCAAAGGATAAACTCTGTACCGGGGATGTTATAACTCTCAAGGTGGTGGAAAATAGCCTTCATATCCTTTTCAATCCCGGACTGCGAGGGGCGGCCAGTAGAGGTCCAGTATCCTCGATACGATGGGACGATTACCGTATAGGTTATAGAAGAGCTTTGAGTTTTGAGTGAGGATAAGATCGAAGACATAAGCGGCAGACGAGGAGGCGTTGATGATGTATTTCTGTAATCTTTGTTAATCCTGACCATTACATAAATTCATATTTAAATAACTTTCCCTTGAAAATAAACAATAACCACATTCCGTTCGCTTCCAGAAAAAGCAACTAGTTCACGAGGGAAAACAGTTGCTTCTGCGTAACTTAAAAGCCTTCCATCCTCAGTCTTAATACCCCGAAACTTTCCGCGCCAGGTAATCCCCATGCATAACTTCTGGTAATCTTCAATTCTCTCTCTTTTAGCCCCAAGCGGGACACCTGCTGGCATTTAGCTTAAGCTCAAACCTTAAGATCTCCTTTTCCAATGCCATAATTCACGATATAGATTTTCCGAATGTAGACGAGTCGCGAGAAGTAAAGGTAATTTAGTTCACGAACGAAGGATGAATACCGGGCATGTAAATTATTTTATTCTGGAATATAACCATCATGGTGCACTATTTGAGGAATGAGCGATTGGGAGATTGATACAAAAAGGAAAGATAAGATACCTTATACACCCAGAGGGTTGTGGCTAATCCTACAAAAACCACCGGTGGGACAAGTGCCGGATGAAGACAAGATAGTATGAAGCGGGAATGTGACTTTATGTTGAAAGACCCGATGCGTGGTAGATTGAGATGAGTGTTAAAGTGTATAGGGTCAGAATAGCGCAAAAGGCGACGGAGCATAATGATAAGTATTGTTATGTTCGCCTTATGAATTGTCCCGTGAAAGTTCTTTGGAAGGAAATAACGACAGAGGCGGGAGACCTTGTTGATGGGAGAGCGAGAGACGGGTGTTCTAAAGAATTAGGGCAGGGTAACCAGCAGAGGGGGAGTGTTTCACGGAATTTCCTGTCATCCGGAGATCACTGCGGATGTCCCTACCATTCCTCCTGCCGCACCTTACGAGTACCGTACGACACCACACAACCCAGTGATAACTCCACTCGTCTTCCTTCTCCCTCTCTCCTTCCTCACTACCGCCACCACCGCCATCATCACTATCACCATCATTATCATTATTACCACCATTATCCTCGTTATCCTTATTACCCTATTTTTCCTTGGCTAGTTAATTCTCAGGGTGTATTTCCTCCTTGCCAGGAAAATATCCACCCCATAACTTTCCGAGAAGCTTTTTCACTACGATACAACGGCCTTTAATCCTAATTTTTATTCTATTTTTTTTCCATATCTCCCGCCGCCAGGTTCCAGGGCACCCAACAGAAAATCCCCAAGCTCACTGCCTATCATGCCGCCACAACCAGGTAGTGTCCGCTCCGACTCTCCTGACGACTGCCGTCTCTTACCCTGCGACTATTCTGACGGAAAGGCCCTATATCCGACCAATCTCGAAAAGAAACCCCGTGCCGACGGTGCCTACGAATATTATTCCCCTGTTCCCGCTGGAAGTAGCAAAGATGTCATGTGGAGAACTAAATGTGGTAATCATGTTTACCAACTCTTCTCTAAATCAGAGGGTGCCCAAGGTCAGCGTGAAATCCTTTGCCGCATATCGATATGCGAACCTGAATCCCACCTCTCTAGACCCTTTTACAGACGCCACTTAAAGCTATCTGCTAACGATTTAGCGCACAGAACGAACCGACTATATTTTTGCCGAGTTTCCACGGAATTACAAGCTCTTTAAGCATGTTAAATGCTCTGCCAAAGTTAGTTAAAAGAAAAATATCCTTTGAACTTTCTTAGCTTTCCACACACACTATATTGACTTGTTCTACAGGACGGTGTTCTCGGGAAAGAACGTTCGGATACCTATCTATATGGACACCCATCAGGAAAACGCTACCGATCACCAGCCGAGTTCTTCCCCCATATTGCGCACCTTTCCAGTTTCAGTGCAAACGAGAACCCCGACGCCAAGGGGAAATTCTGTCAATGTTGCTTGTGCAGTGGCGCGGTTTCGAAGAGCGGGCCGACATCCGCATCAACCCCCAAGGGATCGGTTCAATTCTACCAGAGGGAAGTCAAGAGGGTAAAGATGGTTATATCTCAGGAGGAGAAGCTTGCGGAGCAGGACTGTGGAGGGTGGGTCATACGCAAAGGGGAGATTGGGTGGGTTTGGCTTCCTGATAATCAGGAGAGAAGTTACGAGGGGATAGATTGTAAAAGTCTAGTCGACGGTCAGGGTGGAACCTGGGCTGCTGGGATAATTGTTGAGCGCCCTGGATACACACCTTTCCTCATGCCCCCTAACGTAATTACCGGAACCAAAGAACAAGAAACAGACCAAGATCCGATGAGAACGTTTGTTAACGTGGAAAAAGACATTGTTCCACCGTGGGCCACCGATAACGACTCGTACACTATCCAGCTCTGTGCTGAGAAGGGGAAGAATGGGGAGGTTATCAACGATGTCAAGCAGTGGTTTGTCAGGCCATGGCTGTCACGTCCCGAGTGTGCTCTCAACCACGAGGCGAATGATTGCGAGCATCCCTCTATTGCACCCGGCCGGGAAGCTGCAAGCACATTTTCGGTATTTGATAAGATCCCTGACAGCGTACATTTTGTTAGCGAAAAGGGGGAGACAGAAAAATGCAAGGTGACATCGTACAATGGTATTTATCTAGGCGCAGAAAAAATCTGGGTTGATGAGCCGATACGTATCAAGTGCTCCACTGAAGGGAGCACAATTGTTGGGGCAGAAGATATGATGGTCGTCAAAACAATTCAGACCTACACTTCACCCTCCAAAATCAGCGCCGGTAAATCAACAACCAGAATTGTCTTTGGAGGTCCAACCTTCACAGCCTTTCCCCGGGAAGGCACAGAGCCGGTTCAAGACGAAGCAAGTCTTCAACTTCCGCCCCGTATGCGTCGCTCATGCGGTGGGGACTGGACCATTAAGTGGTACATAACGGACGGAACAAATGAAAAATCCAAAGCTGTTCTCAAGGACGTTCTTGGGAGATACTACGAACCCCAGGCTATTCAGGTGTGGACTGGACGTCAAGACCTCCTCTATGGGGGCAATCCGACTCTGAAAATATTTTCGGTCGATATAAGAGGGTGGGCCAATTCAAGACTCGAGGCTTTTGGCTGTACTATCTTGAACGGCTTTGACCTCAGCGCGATCGATATTGATGATAAGACCGAGTCAAAGGTTGGGCCAGCTAGGCTCTATCCACAGGAGGAGGAGGAAGATGTGTTGATCCCACCTGCAAATGTGTGGGGCAAAGCGGAGGAGAGCGGTCAGGAGGTAGCAGATCAGGAGGTTGCGCGTACGAGCGATAGGAATGAGGATATAATGGAGGTTGATCCCCCCAGAGGTTTTGTGAGTGTCAATGTACGGACCGTTCCTCATAGCACCAGTCAGAAACGCGAAAGAAGTGATTAGATACTCCCCCATCTGCCATTATCGCAATGGGGTTGAGATTGCACTGTCTATGCAAGGTTTAATTTGCGGGGGGTATTTCACAGATTGTTTTTTTTCCTTTTCCCATCCAGCTCTAGTTTTATCAAAAAGGTGTCTACAATAAACTTTATTCGTTTTTCTCTTCCCCCTATAATGTATTTATGATAACGGGATCCAACTCTACAAAGCTGCCATCCGTGGGAGTTACCGAGGCTGTGATAGGATGATGCGTGGTGTTGTGCGAGATTCCGACAGTCCTTAACATCACGTTCAACCCGATCTCAAGGGAGACATGTTATACATGTCTCGTAAACGGCTCGCAAGATGGAACCAACAAATATAGACGGCGCGATCCGGGCCGTCCACAGTGGTGGAATTTAACAAGTACAGTCACACCCCGCTATCCCGGATCTCGATAATCCGGATACCTCGCTGTCCCGTATGAATTTCTGTGAGCTTTGGATCTATTTCCACCAAAACCTCACCCGTTGTCCCGGATCCCTCGCTGTTCCGGACAGATTCTTCGGATTTTGGCCATCCGGGATAGCGGGGTGCGACTGTACTCTTCAAGATATCGTCACCATTCTCCGAGCCCTCAGAAGTTCGGTCGGTCTATGGCGCCCAGGTTCTCGCGTGCTAGTGCTATGGCAATACAATAATATCAAGGCAGTCTTGCCTACGCCTAGATATACTTGACACGCTCAATCACCGTACCAGTATGACTACCGAAACCAAATGCTGGTACTCGAGCACACTCGCATCCGCAACCTTCTCGCAGTACCTCAGGCGCTTCCCTGCAGTTAGCCACAGAATACGTATTACTAGCAATTCTGGCCCAAGATAGCAAGACGGGGATGACCCTGCCCCCGAGAGATTTCATTTAATCCGGTAACGGTTTCCTAATAACGGGTTTCCACATTTTTTATTCCTTTTGTATTTTTTTTGCTTGTAAACAACCTCTGCTTCCCCCCAGTGGAAGGCCAGAGAGACTCGGTGGTGTTCGAGTACAGTACGATCTTGGTGACAAGATTCGTGGACCCATTTTGCACCGAAAATGTGCATTTCCAGCCTGCAAATCTCAGCCTTGTCGCTTTGCAAAACAAACATTAAAATTCCCGGAGCCTTCAGAGCCATCTAGATATTCTCATCCAGATGTCGCAAGCTCTGTTTGCTGGCGTCCATGGCTCAACGGCAGAAATAATGACAGAAACCAAAAGGCAGAGTACTGTACTGTGCTTCAGACATTATATACGTTTTCCGTACAAAAGATATATGGCAACAACATCCAATCCGGACCTTAAGCTCTCGGCCCCATAGTGGAGTGGGGGAAATTCTCGTAGAAAGAGCATGGAATTATCTATAATAGTATTGATTTCATCAAACCCATATTACATCCAGGCAAGTTGCGAGTGTTTAAAATCAGTCGTTTTTAGTGCGAAACGGGGGGGGGGGGGGGTTGGCCACAAATGCCGTCACCAATAAGGTAAACGGGACGTTACGAGAACACTGCGGACACCGACTCGTACACCACCACTCCATAATGAGTGAGCACTATTATCGCGGTGATTCGCTCGTAAAGAATGCGGTGAGATAAAACATGCAAGCACCATCCAGCCTGATATCATGCGTGGCTCATACCGATGTCTTGCGTGAAAGATTCCATCGACGCATGACTCAAAGCGATCCGCAGCGTACAGTATGTTAGAGTCCCGGCACCGCAAATCTTGAAACGGACAGAAGGCAAAACGCATTCTTCTTCTTCTGCTGCGCCGCGCTCGTGCATCCAGTACGATGCAGTATCGAGTGCCTGTACTCGAGTACTGTAGACTATCACACTTGTGGCACCCTCGAGTTGTGCCCCGTGCGTGCGTGATTCGTGATGACACTTCCGACCGACACTGATAAATAAACGTTACGAGCCGCAGCCATCATTGAGACGGCAGTGTGACTGACGTTAAGTTAAGTTACTTGTGCCATTCCAGTGTTAGAAGCGACGGGATGTCACCCCTAAAAGCTGACTTGACCCGGTACAAGTACCCACCCTGGAAGATACCGTAGGCTAACGGCGTTCTTCACTGGTCATCGTGCTATGCTCTACTCAAGTACAGTACCTCTGATCCCGTATTTTGTGCGAGGCCCTATCCGACCCCTCCCCCCGTTACTCCCTGTCACCAAGTTATCTCTTGCTGACCTCCCGCCACTGACCATGGTCAAGTTCATGGCTAGGTAAATTCACTTCCCACCAGCGCTAACCTGCACACAACCTACGGGTATTCTAACCGATCATGAGTCTACAGGTATGATAACTCTCGACGGTAGACTACGGTAAAGCACGCACTGTACGAGCACCGTGCCAGAAGCACTCCTCCTCCCGTACCATACGATAGTCGCATCACCCCTCCTCAAACACAATCCTGGCGCACCCAGGGAATCAATCCTTGGCGGTGGTGATTAGCTGCAAGCACCTTCCTGCATGCAGACGCGACAGTGTGGGGAGCCCCCAGCCCTGTGTTTGCTCAGCCCTGCGCTCAGCCTCGTGGAAGGATGTTGCATGCCTAGTCTACGAGTACCGTACAACGACCTCTGCCCGCATGTTTGCCCTTTCGCTACCAGTTTGTGTGAGAGGTGTATAAGACGATGGTCCTGCCCCCCTCGACTGAACCCCACTTTCCGACCCCAAACACCCGCTCAGGAAGCCGATGCACAAAAGCGAACATGACCGAAAACACCATTCATAGACAATCTTTCTCCGTCGATAACCTCAGCGTTAGGAGCGTGACCATTTACCCTTCTCGCGCTGCCATTGTTAGGGATATTAACAATGTCACTATCAAGGTTTGCCACTGTCGTCTTTGTCCCCTATGGCTATCGGCTAACCATTGCAGCCGGGGAGAAACGAGATTGTTATCTACAACCTCACCCCGCACGCCGAAGCCGACTCGATCAAGGTCGAAGGACACAACACCCCGGCCCTCATCACGGACATGGCCGTGGACCTGGTCCCCAACGCCAAGTACGACGAGCACCAATTCAGCGATTACTCCGACAGCGACACATCGTCGGGAGAGGAAGAGACGTCCCCGGAATTGCAAGCTTTGGAAGCCCGATTGAAAGCGATATCCCAGCAATTAGCCCATCACCAGGAGACCGAAGCATCGTGCGTTCAGCAGCGACAGTACATGGACACCTTTATAATGACCTGGGCCTCAAAGGCTACCATCGCTCCATCAGAGACCATACGTAAAGAATTGAGCAATTACGAAACCACCCGTCAGGAAGCCTTCCATAAGCTGGCGGAGGCCAAGGATTGCACCGAGAGCACGAGAGCCGAGTTGGAAAAACTCAAAAGGGCGCACGAAAAGATGAAGAGCCGGTGGGAGAAGACGCTTCGCAAAAAGAACGCCGCGAAAACGGAGCGTCGGCGACGCAAAGAATTCGCGAGGAAAGAGCGCAAAGAGCAGAAGCTGTATACTCCGGAGAAAGTTTACCGCGTCAAGATCACCGTCGAATTGGACAGCTTACCGAAGGGAACCAAATCCGTTCCCAGCGCAATTGACACCGGAAGACCCCCGAGGGCGGACGATGACGAGCCACCGGTCAACGACGGCGGGCCAAGTTTACGCATTTCGTACATCGCCGGAGGAGCGTCTTGGGTACCCCGATACGATATCCGCCTGGATACCACGTCGAATACAGGATCCATTTCCTACAGGGCCCACTTCTACAATAAAACCGGTGAGACCTGGCGAGATGCCAAAATCACGTTGTCAACCTCGCAAACCTCCTTTAACGGAATCGAAGACAAAGCGCCCTGGATGGATGCCTGGCGCGTATCTCTCAAGCGGCGGGGACACTACGGCAGCGATAAAGATGGCGGACTATACGCCGTCCCCGAGCAAGAGAAGCGCGATGTGAAGAAGGTAGCGGCAAAACGCGCAAAGGCCGAATTCTGCTCCCATGGGCAAGAGTACGACCGTTCCGGTGCCTTGGGGAGTTCGCGCCCTCAATGCGCAGCTGCAATGTCTGCCGGCGGATCCCAGAACGCCCGCAAGGCGAAGAGAGGCATCTCCTTCAGCAGCGGCAGTAGCATCACCATGCTCAGTCGTCGCCGGAGCATGAGCAAGCCCGTCGCCCCCTCTGAGAACCCGTACTCCAGCGACTCGAGCGATCCCAGCGATGACGATAGTGACGACGCATCCACAGTGCTAGACTCCCCGCCGAACAGGATGGGCATCGCAACCAGCACGTCGGAAACCCACGGACTAACAACGACCTACGACCTCCCTGGAATCCGAACGGTCGTCTCGTCAAAGCAGCTGTCCCGCTACATCATTTCCGAATTCGCCCTCCCATCCGTGGAATTCTCCCACCTGGCCGTACCCAAATACCGCACCGCCGTATTCCTCAAAGCCCGTCTTCGCAACCCCTCCCCCACCACCCTTCTACGTGGCCCTGCCGGCTTAACAATCGACGGGACATTCCTGGGAAGTTCAACCGTAACCCGCTGTGCTCCAAATGATGCGTTCGAAATTGGGCTCGGCGTAGACGAGGAAGTAACCATCACATACGCCAAGCCGGTCCGTCGCGTAGCCTCGGAGGGAATGCTCGTGAAGGAGCAAGTGCTAACCTACGAGCGGAACATAAGTATCTACAATACCAGGTCCACACCCATCACGCTAATCCTCTTTGATCAAGTCCCCGTCAGCGAAGAGGAGAGGCTGAGAATCGCGGTTAAGCGGCCAGCTGTGAAGAATGTTGGTGACACGCTTCATGGCACGGCTACGAATGTCAGGTTCTTCTCGGGCTTTGAGATGGGTGGGAAGAAGCCGACAAGCGTGCCCGCCGGACCGGGAGCCAAGGTGGAGCTAAGGAAGAACGGGGAGGTTAGGTGGGAGATTGGCCTAGAGAAGGGTGCCAAGGCCAGAGTTGGGTTGGAGTACGAGGCGAGGATGCCGACAGCGGATGTTATCTGTGCAGAGAGGGGTGGGGATTGAGTGGGTTCCTTTGTTTCGTTTGCGACTTGGGTCTGGCGGGCGGGATAGGGGAGTGGACGTTGTCTTCCTGCGTCATGTTTTTATCTCTGCCCATTAAGTGCTCTCAATCTAATGCAGCAACACCTATAATCTCGTATAACCACCGTACTCGGGGACAAAGGCCCACAAGAAAGATTAGTGTTTCCCCCACACGGGAATGCTTGAGCGTGTTGAATCCCATTTACCAGGATTCGCAATTCCGATAACCCGTCAAACCAAATCCATTGTAGGTCAAAGTCACAATTCCCAATAACAATTCGACAGCGGACCACAAGACTCCACGGTACGCGCTAACAGACTATCCGGTAGACATATATTTGGTACAAAGGCATCGAGTGAACGATGGACGGGGCAGAAAGGAAAATAGACCATCTATTATCAATACTATCAATACTATAATAATACTCATATGAATATCACCAGTAGCGCAAACCAATTCGTGAGTGATTTTCCGTGATTCCTTACCCATGCCCAGAGACCAACCCCGCGTACAGTACTGCACTAGTACACGCGAGAAATATCACCCGCCGCCCAAATAATGCCTAAATGTTGCAAACAGCGATGAGCCTCTGGTTATAAACCCCCCGCGCCGGAAAGAGAGGTGCAATTTGTTTCAACGGATGTGAACGACTGAATCCCCGGGGAAAACAGCTTCCGCTCAAGACGTACATACAGGTAGGAACCACGTACGCGCGCGATGGAACTGCCGTCGTCAAATTGTGCCGTGATCTGCTACGGTAGCGTAATGCGTAACCCGGTCGCGGGGAATGCTACTCGTGTGCAAGTATGAGGATTCAACCGGAGGTCTTGTGGTGTATAAAATCTCGAGCGTGGTATTGTACTAGTAGGAAGGGAGGAAGGTTCACAGATTGAATCCGGTGTGAGAGGTTCGCGGGTGTCGAAGACCTACATATCCATATCTTTCACCGAAGTCAACAGCCGTTATTGTTATTGGCCCATAGCAAAACGTGTAAATCCGATACGTGGGAAAAGATGCGCGTTGAAAGACTGCCCTGCCCGCCAAAAGGAAAATCATATCTGGATCCCGTAAGCTGAAAAGAAGAAAAAAAGGGCTCGATGGGTGAGGAAGCTGGGGGATTGTTTAGATTTTCTCTCCAGTGGGGCGTGCTGAAGTTACAGCGCTCCACCATATGTATACACGCGAAACAATACGACATTAAGTGGCAAAGGCGAGACACCAATGCTCTCAAATATGGGGAACTCGCCTAACGTGCATGATATTCGGAGACGGAATAAAAACTAAGAAATGAAGAGCCCGGGGATGACAATGAGACCGTCCACCCACTTGAGCAGGGGGGGTACTCGAGTACAAGAAGGGGTGGAAGGATACGGGAGCGAGGGGATAGACATCCCCAGTTGGGTTCCCCGTGAGTCTTCAGTGCTGGAAACGACAAGGTTGCAAACGCACCGGAGGTCTTCGTCCTGTCCCGAACGTTGTGAAGGTGATTGGTTTTATTTCGTGAGAAGGTTTCCAAGAAACCTATCGGACGGCAGGATCTCCAGCGAATCTGATTATCGTAAAGGAGGAGAGGGCTTGCCCTCCGCAAACAAGTGCCTCCGTTTTATGGATGGTCTGTTCAGTCTAGGTGCTGGCGCAATTTGATCTCGACGGTTGTAGGACTGGCTGGAGCGATCTCATTCTCTGGATGGGTTGGTTGAGGATCGTTCCCCAACGCTTCTAGTTTGGTATCCCGTTTATGATATTAGTGAGATGATGGAACAGGGTTTTCACATCCGGTACCGGTATGATACTCGAGTACCGTACCAGTACCCGTACAGTCTACAGTTGCAGGGGTTTCGCAGGCTTACCCCAGCCTTTGCATCAAACCGGGGCCAACAGGGGGAGGGTATCACAGTGGGGAATCTGTGTGTTACACGTACTGTACTCTACAAGTAGCGGCAGGTACGGGCCGGATCAGGTCGGGCTCGGTGCATGCCTGGCGGGCTCCAACCCCTTCCAGCTTGCACCCGAGTCTCTCTCTCCATCCCGCTTGAGCTATTTGCTATGTCACGAACAATCACTCGAAGACAGTGTAGAATTCACCCCCTAGTGCCCCTCTCCGATATACCCCCTCTCTTTCCAATATATCCTGGACCGGACTATCATATTCAAGACAGATATCAGCATCCCAAAGACCCACGCAGATATCTAGCTCCTCCTTTCTTCATTGAGCTCAGGCTCCCTCGGTGGTCAGAATTGGTCGACGGCTCAAGGCCAGACAGGGGAAACACAGGGAGGGTGAAGTCTGACAAGGTGGAAACGCTCCCACTTCCGTTGTGTTAGCGCCCCGAACGAAGGGATATCCTCGACCGGGATTCATGGCCTAGTAAGCTTCGAGACCCGCCGCTACTAATATTGAACTGGATGGTCAAGCTACTTGTTAAAATAGAACTGGTACATTAAGCGGGTGGTTCGCCATGGGCTGGGTCTCTTTGTTTGGAAAGAAAAAAAAGAAAGGAAAGAGAGAAGGCCGCGAGCTCTGTAAACGGTGGATTTCCTATGATACCGGTACTCTTGCTTCTCCCGCCGGTATCTACAGTATGGTACTAAGGGAAGGGAGAAGAAGGTATTGGAACAAACAGGGGGATATAGAGGGTCGGTGCAGGGTTTTTCCTATTCATGTATTATAGGTTGAGGTTGTAGATTCTTTGATAAAAAGGAAGAAAACACTATGGGCGAAGCCGCATGATATCACAATTTTCACTCCATACCCACATATTACTTGTAGATGGAATAGGGCTTCCTTAATTGGTATGGGGTAAAAAAGAAAAATCATAAAGGTCCCATCACATCACTTGCTTGATTTAGTCATGAATATGTAATTAACATATTTTATCATAATTTTAACTTTACACTTCCTATGAACATTTAGGATATAGGATGTCTTTCCTTCGCCCATCCATGACTTCCTAAGGCGTTCCTAGTTTAATAATATTATCATAGTATCAAAGTTAATAATATCTAGCTAGGCACTACAGTATTTTTCTCTTCGCACAGATATCCGTTCCCCTGGTATGTTCCGATGCTTCACCCCCGACCCTAGTACGGTTAGCAGTACTCGAGTATTTGGCCCCTGCTGAATCTAGCGGTGCCTTTAATTTGATCCAAACGGCCCCCACGCCCTCATCTCACCATCGTCCCAGGCACTGTCTTTCTTTGGAGAGTTTTTGTTGCTTAACTTCTTCTTCCATAGGTGTGCCGTGTTGTCAGAATCCTCAACGAACCCCATATCATACTATTTTATTTCAGGAGCCCCACGGGTATAATGCCCCTGTAAAAAAAACAAAAGAACGAGCTCCCGTTTGGCGCGCCACAAAACTCGCGATTTTCTGACTTGGAAGGCATTGTTGCGTTCCTTGGGGTGGAATCTGAGCTATATCAAAGATTGAACGAGGGACAAAAACGGTAATTTTTTTTTTTTTAGATTTTTTTAGATATATGCTGCGGCACACCAAACAGAGCGTAAAGGCATAAAATTTTATTTACTTGTATTCAAGCTGTGCAGACTAGGACTATAGCGAGCGATCCCTCATGCGGCCAACAGAGAAACCTCACTTGATACAGTCATGCCTCGCTATCCCGGTGGGCCAAAATCCGAATAAAACTGTCCGGGACAATTGGTGATCCAGCACAACGGGTCAGGTTTCGGTGCGAAGGATTTTTGAATTCGCAGAATTTCATGCGGGGCAGCGAGGTATCCGTGTTATGGAATTCCGGGACGGCGAGGTTTGACTGTAAAAGCAAACAAACCACTCCGGGGGGGGGGGGCACGAGTGCTTGCTGGTGCCCACTTCGCATAGTGTTCATCGAACATTGTCCAAACTCGGACTAGCCGGGCTACCCTTCTTACAACCCCCGAAATAGCTTAACATGTGTTGAGGGACCTCTGTACTCGAGTAGCCGCAGCAGAGGCACGTTCGTCCTGTCTTGGAAATGGTATGTTACTTGGTCACCTATAAAGTATTCGGACGCCTTAGCATTATTCGCACCTATATTAGCGCCAAGCGTCTGAATACTTTATCAATACCGGTAATCCGCCAAGCATTAGCCATGCTCGGGTCAGTGGTGAAGTACGGTACTACCGTAGTACAGTACTCGTAATGTCGATTTTCCTTTTTGACTATTCGGGAGCATCAACTTCTACAGTACGAATGAAGGAACCTCGCACTGACCCTCTTTTCCCTGCTTGTCCCAATGCTATCCCCCTGTCCCTAGTAGTGTACCCGTTAATCTCTTTGAACGTTTCATCAGCTGGCTGTGCCAAGGAAATTAACAGTACTAGTACTCGAGTAGTTAGCAGGCCCCGGATTCCCCCAGCTCGAGCCAAATGGTAGACCTAGCTTTAAACGCCGATATCTTTATGAAAACTCGAGATGTTTTTCTTCCCCTCTACAATATTAATGTGTAGAGAATCGCCCGCTCTATCAATAGATCCATACTTCCCACCGGGGTTGCTGTTGAGATCTTTTGGGACCCGAACCTAAGCAATATATTTTTAGCAAGGCACTCTACCGGTAGTTACAGAAGTCCCTCACGATAAGTACAAAATAGACACAAAACAAAACTCCGATCCCGTAACGGCCACTGAGAGCTCATCAATAATGTGATTCCGGGGGTAATGAACCTTCCACCAACCAGGCCAACCCAGTCACCCACCCTCCTCAAGCCCTCTCCCGCCGTCAAAGACAATTTATCGAGGTGGTTCTTCACTGCACTCATCCTTAGATGTTGACCACGGAGGCTGTACCCTCCCCCCCCTCCTCCGGAGGTTCTTCCCGGAAAATTTTCGCGCCTCGTTGGCACCAGTCCAGCCTATGGGCCTTGCTCGTGGTCTTCCCAATGTGCCAACGGGAGCCTTGTATTGCACCGTATTTACCGCTCCGACCAGGTCCCACAATAGCACAAATCCGGCACACGGCATCACCCACCGGCACAAAGTGGTAAATTCCCCGGAACGAAACTGCAGACACATGGCGGCCTAATCGGTTCCCACGGCTCCTGCGGCAAGTGCCGTGCGCCCGCTGAGTTAGGAGAGCGATCCGGGAGCCGTCCCGTCGAATGGGCTACCTCCAGCAATGAGTTTTAGGGGCAATTGCAGCCCCCCAATGGGTTAAAGCGGTTCGTTCCTATTATCGCAATAGTCACGGCCAATAAGCTTCTAAGAGCTCGGTTGATGTGGTTCAAGAGCACCGCCACGAAACTTGATGTTAGGATGATAAGCATAGGCAACGTGCATTCGTGGGCGTTAATTAATATAATGACAGGGATATTTATAAGCAAATATTCCTTGAGCTTGCCGGTATGGGATGATAAAGGTGACCAAAAGGTACACCACGTGATAATAATGGTATTGTGGAGACCTCTCGGGTGATAGCCTATGATCGCTGCTTCTCCAAACGCTGGAAGGAAGCTCGATGGTCAGAAGGAGGTCACCACCGCTGGGTTAAACTTCTCCGGCTTTTTCTCTCCATTCTGAGGCCTAAAATACCTGGGGCAAACTCTCGGTGTGTTCCCCCAGCATGTGTAGGCTCGGGGCCCGAACACTTCCTCCAATTGGGCAAACATAGTCTTGGCTGCCAAGAGAAACTGTTTGCGTAGAGATTCGAACTCCTCATTCCCAATTAGGAAAAATAGACAATCGCCGAATTCTCGCGATGCGCGCTGGGATCCCCCTGGGTTCCGTCGTTTTGGGGCGGGTGCCTCTTTAGGGATGGTGTAGGAGCCGACGGGAAGCATATTTTAGGGGCCGGAAAGGGGTATGTGTAGGTAAAGGCATATTGAGCTCCGTGATGTTTATGTTGGGAAGAGTTTCTGAGATATATGTGACGGTACTCGCGCCTGTACTGCTTCCCGACGCTACCGTAGACATCGGCCCGTTAATAGTCGACAGCCCAGGAGGTGTCGCGATCCCAAGAGGTGACTGTCCACTGAGGAAAAGGCCCGGATTGCCCGCTTAGTTAGGTTCGTGAACATTTTGAAGCCTCGGAAGTCCTGTGATGTTTCCGTTAAGTCGGGGAGGGTCCCGAAAAGGTGCTAACTTACCTACCTTTCCAACTTGTGGGATATTGCTCATCTTTGGCAGAGAAGTGGGCATTCAGCCCGCGCTCGGAAAAAAAAAACGGGGCCGGCTAGGGAGTGAAAGAAAGAATCAATGAAAGAAGTTTTGCTGATCCACCCCACCCCTCGAAGGAGGTGGGCGTAGCTATTTATGCCTAAGGGAGGGGGATCCACCCCACGGCAATGTTTCACCTTTTCCAGTGGCAAACCTTGCTGGTACCGAACCATTCCGTATAGTTCGAACTTGCCAAGGAACGGGCCATAAGGGCCAAAAGGGATATTTCCTTAGAGCTATTATGCGTGTATGGATTTGGAAAGGTTCTTGAGCTAAAGATACCGCTTTAGGAACCCCAGACTTGGGTGTGCAAATAAGTGTAACGCGGCAAAGAGTTATTTAGGTCTGAGGGAGTTACGTATCAATTTCAGCGTATGTTTTGGGGGGTGTAGTGCTGGTATGGAGGGCCACAAGGAAGACACTGTGGCGGTTGTTGGAGACTCAAAAACGGATCGATGCTGGCACTGCCCCAGTACGGTACCGGTACTTCATAAGATAGCACTTGATCCCATGTCACAGGTACTGGAGTACTCGTACTTGGAGACGACAAACTCGCAAATATATTCATACTCGTACTCGAGTACCCTCAGGTTTCCCAACAGCAAGGATGAAAAAAGAAAAGAAAATATGTCGCCCACAATTTTCTCGATTAACTAGTAAACTTATCGTCCAACTTTCCAATCCTCATGCCTTCCGAATAACCAGCCAGCTCCAGCGAGACAATATTTCCCTTCACCAAGACCATTCCTTCGCTCACAATCAGCCTTTCTACTCACTCAGATCGGCGCAGGCTATCACACAAGCCCTGCACATAATGTCGACGCCGCACGTGCATTCACCATCATCCACTGCCGCTTCACCCCGTTTATCGTCAGCCACAAAACGATATAAACAAAAGCCTCATGACTGAGGGGGAAATAATAACTTTGACTACTTGTTTGACTGAAAGCCTCACCCTGAAACGCCCAACACTCCGGATGCTGACAGTCCTGGGTGTCGTCGCAATGAAGTTGTTCAGCTTGGCGGTTTTCCCAGCCCGACTCGCGGAATTGGACAGTCCCGGGGTAAACCCCAAACTCTAAGCCAGAAGGAGTCGTGGCCGCTCCGCCACCATATCCCACCTGGAGCGATACACTGTTAGGATCTTCCGCAACAGACCCAGAGTTCGTGGTGTTCATTGATGAACCAGCCCCGGCCCCGGCGACCCTATCTGCCCCCTCGTCCTCCATACCCCCATCCGGAACATCCTTCCTGAGGTACCCCCACTTGGAGAGCTTGTCTCTAAACGTTCGCGCACTGAAGATTTAGTACCGTTAGTCTTTCCTTGTGTTTCCGTTAAATTAGAAGCCGGAAGACTCGCTGCAGTCCTCTCTCAGTAGTCGGATTTTGTGAAATAGAAATTAACCTACCAGGGACCTCTCTCCGACCCTGAATTGGCCCAATACCTGTTGTCCTCCAAGTGTTTCATCACTTGGCGGAGGGACCGGTTTTGGACGACGTATAGCTCATGAATGAGGGCTTTTACCGGGGTCCACGTATAGCCCATTTTTGGAATCGCTAGGGGAAGTGGCAAAGATGGGAAGACGGAGAGAAAGATAGAAAGATCAATTGAGGATTGGTGAAAGGTTGCTGGTGGTCGGAAAGCAATTGCTGTGAGAACTGGTGAGGACAAACTCTTTAGGGAATACCAGGCTTTTATATCAAAAACCCGGAACTCACAGCAGTAGAAATTCTTCTATACACTTCGTTACCTCTCTTCCCCATTGCATCTTGATCCCACTTACTATGTTGTGCTTACTTAGGAAGGCCAATGGGATTCCTCTGCCCCCCAACCCGCCTTTGATCAAGAACATTGCGCCCCCAGATTGCTTGAGATTGAACACGTACCCGGCCCGCTTCTCCCTGCTCATCCCTCTTGCCCTCCTCTCATTCGGGGTGAACGTATCAAAGTGCGGAAGCTCTGTGGGCCAATTGGCTGCACAGCATCCCTACTTGAAGGCCGTCTGATCTCTGCAGTCGTTTCGTATTGCTTGCCCACATGCATAGGGCCTGACTACGTAGCATATGGTTTCTGGCAACATGTCTGGGAAAAAGAAAAGGAGGAAGAGGAAGAGGAAGAGATGGGAAAGGATTTGAAATCAAATGTAATGTAGAAGGGTAAAAAATGATAATTGGTGCGTTGAAAGAAAAGTGGGCGAGGAGAAGTGAGAACCGATTGTTCCAACTACAGTAAAGCAAAAGCAAACGTGCCTATCTGCGTGGCATTTACGTTATACTTGTGTAAAGGACAGAACCCGTGTTCATGAGCATTGAAAGATAGTTCCAATCCGCGATATTGTGAATACTATGGGATTAATGATAAAATCGAAGTTTTGGTAACGGCGTATTCATCAAGGATTGTCATTTCAAGTTACCGTACGAGTACAGTAGAACATATATATCCCACTACATGTATTCCTTTTTTTTTTCCGAGCCCCATCTCTTCCCAATGGCTATATCACATACCAAGACCGGGAGACGCGAGGACTTCCGTTACACTAATCATTGCCAATCGCCTTAATTGCTAGCTCATATTAAGTTACGTCGGTGCTCGGCTGGGTTTGCTCAAACCTTGTCGGGCTGGCTTTCATGCTTCATGCTAAGTTATTGAATAATTATCCTTTTCTTTCCTTCCTCCGCTGACAGCGTGACCTTCCCTCAAAGCTGAAGATGAATGCCTGTGGTAGTGCACATCTTAATCCTGCCCCATCCTCTCGCCACCTGCTTATCCCTTCAATACGCTGAACTGACCATTCAGATGGTGGATGATGTTCACTTTCCCCGGAACGTTCCCTGTTTATATTAGATGTAAGGCAAATGGCAATCCCCAAAGCAGAAACTAGAAGCAGACACATCTCTCCAAGTACGGCACATGTCTCCAGGTGCGAAATCTCGAATCGCGATTTCAACTAAAGTCGTCATTCCCTGGGCTTTTTTTATTTTTTTATTTTTTTATTTTTATTTTTTATCTCCTACATCCTCCCCTCTGTCACAGAAGATATGACTCCGTTAAAAGCAAATATACAGCGGAGCGAAGGAAAAGCGAGAGAGGGGGAAGGTTGGAAATTGCCCGCATCGCGGGTTTCCCTGTCGAATACCGGTAAGCCCCCGCCCACGCCGAACATCTTAAATCCACCAACGTGTCTGTCGCTCCGATCTCACACCCAATTGTCCCGGCCAAAATCGGAATAAAACCCACAAAACACGATGTTCTGTTCAGGGGTTTTCTCTCACTGCTTTCCTATTCCCACAAGCTGTTCATTTATCGGGCCTACTAGGGTTTGTTGGGCTATGATGGAGGAGGGCTTCGCGATCCTACAAGTACTACGCAGCATCAATTTAGGAGGGGGGGTGGTTGCGTGATGTACGGAAAGTGCGATGACCAGGATGATTCGAAAAAGAAATAAGTGACTAGAAAACGCAGCAGAGAGGAGAAGAAGGCCGATTGCGGAAGGGTGCACCCCATGCTTGTTGTTCATGCTTGATACTTCCTAGTTTTTTTTCTTTTCATTTTTATTTTCAGTTTCTCCCCAACTATATTGTCCGGAGTATTGTGTGTGGATTTTTTCTTTTTTGGAGCCATTGGGAGAATACATGAGTGATCACTCGAGAGTGGTTGCTCTACTTATACCTTCGAATTAGAACAAGGCGTTAGTAGAGGTAACTAGTCTACGGGGATGTACCGGTAGTCCGTAGCGTAACCTAAAAGTAAAGCGCATCTTTGGTTGGCCAATTGAAAACCTCGAATTTTTTTTCCCGCATGAATAAATAGTTTGGTCCGGGCTCTCCCAAGATGGCATAACCTCGTAGTTAGCGACAACTGGAAAGCCTTTTTGGCAGGGAAGGGTGATTTTCCTACATCCTTTTAGACCGGGCTCCGTCCAAGCCTGCTTTAATAAAATATTCTCTCAGTAACTACCCCCTATCGTATAGTTCTATCAACAAGATTTACCCATGGTGGTGGGAGGGTCAGTCAAGGGGAAGGGTATACTTACTCAAATAGCGGTGGACACAGAAACGTGTACCAATTGCATTAATTCACAGTCCCGAATGCCATGACAGGCAGTTTGTTCAACGCTCCACCGGCCCCATATCGGCAATCTAGGTAGTGGTGGGCCTTGACAATGGAGAGCTCCTGCCGTGTAGTTTCCTATCACATATTGAGTTCTTCCTTGCTCCTTTTGCCCAATTTTCCTTCTTCTTCTCCTCCCGCTTCTTCTTTGATTTTGATTCTCTCTCCTTTCAATTTTTTTTTCACGGACGCGTAGGTGATTTTGGAAACGGGGAGGGCGAGAAATGATAGTTCAATCTTGCTCCAAGGGTGGAGATGGCCGAGCGTGGTCTGCGGTGAGAGCATGATGTGAGTAAAATACCGGAGCACCAAGGGGGGGGGGGGGCTACCCAATTGTCAGCTCTATCTTCGCGTCGATTATGGCAGCTCTTGTTTTCTTTGAACATTATCGGTATTTTTGAGCGTGGCTTGCGTCCATCCCATGTTGGGCCCGGAATTATGCCTGTGCTTTTCATTTCCAAAAAAGGTAGGAATTTTTAGATGCGGCTAAGAAACCACACATGTCAGCTTATCTTCTTGTATCCTGGCACATTCTACCAAAACCGGTGGAGCCCTAACTTATCACTTTTTCAGCGCTTCAAACATTCCCATTGTATTTGTTTTGGGTAGTTTTAGTTATAAAAAAAGATTTGATTGCGGAAATTCGGCCTGATTCTGTTCGCCTTTGATGGCCTACCGATATTGATGATTTCCCTGCCTTTCCCCCTTCTACCGTGCACTATCCTAGGACGATCTCTGTCAACTTAGAGGTGACCCCGATCAACTTATCCCTTGCGTGTCTGAGATTCCCAAGCATTAACTTAACATAACATTCAATAATTCACGCTAGATCAGGATTTTAGAGATAACTGAAAGAAGAGGCGTTTAATGGCGGCAGACAAGAAAAATATGAAAATGAAGAGCGTAGAATTAAAAAATAAAAATAAAAAAAGGTGGACCAGCTGCAAACACTCCTCCCCCTGAGCTTGCAGTAGACACACCTCATCTATTATTAACGTACACAAGGCTAGGTGGCTTTGAATGGATGATGGGAACATATATGCCTCATAGGAAGCTCGCCTTCAGTTTTTTTTTAAAAAAAATAATAATAATCATAATAACAGCAACAATCGGGACCTGTGTGGGAAATCCAGGGTTTGGGGGAGGCGAGAGTATCACCTCGAATCTTGAAATCCGCAGCTACTGTGGTTTGACGGCCACTGCACAGCAGGCTCCGCCGTAAAAAAAAAAGAAAAAAGAAGAAGTCTCACTCCTCTTACATACATGGCCCCGGGTGTACAATAAGAAGCATAGGACTGGCCCGGTGGGATGCACGGGCTTGGGCAAGTTTACATGGCGAGTGATTCCAAATGAGAGATCATAGCTCGATAGATAGCCATATATAGGGTTTAGGGTGCATTGGGTCAAATGAAACCTACAGCCCTCCCTCACATGCTCATGTCGGCAATAATATTGAACGAAGTTCAATGGATGGGGTTGGTATCCGGTTAGATAGGGCGGTATTGTCGTGCCTATCGTTAAGATCCTAGGGGCACAATCCATTGAGACTGTTCCCATCAATAACCGCTTGTTGTTCCGCGTTGACGAGTAGTGCAGGGGGAACGCGGGGATCGTTCGTTCTTAAGTGAGAAGTTCTGAATCGAAGGCTTCCCATGGGTGTCTGATCAGTTGTCCACTTTGCCAGAAGTTTAAGCGAAACTTAGATAATTGGACTTAGAGCAAAATTAAAGTGTTACTGGAACAATTAGTCCCCTTTCTTGAGTCCGGTTGACCCCGTATACTTTTTGGGAGTGAGGGAACAAGGAAAATAAAAAGCGAAGTTCGAAAAGAATAGTAATAAAGGGAAAAGAAAAAAATGATCCCACCTTTTCTCCCGTCTGCCACGTCTGCTTGACCCTGATAAACCGCGAAATGTGGGAAATCGAGTCCCTATTTTCCACTCGCCTTTTCCTTGTGCATAATGACAGCATGCCTTACCGGACATCCCGCGAGATTGAGCAGCGCTGCAAAGGGAAAGGAAGAAATGGGGGGGAAAGGTATCCTGAGTATGGCTTGTCACGGCAGAGTTAGGGCTGGTTCGATATTTCACTTCTCCTATCACCAAGTATGGCTGTGCGGGTAGGGCTGGCTGCCGGATGCTAGTGTTGCCAGTTTCATTAAAGACAGTTCACCCTGCTGCCTCCAAGAGATATAGGAATCGAAAATTAACACAGAAAACAGCCCGGTGTACGGTATGGTTGCAAGAGCCATGCATGAAACTTATCATCAACGCGCCGCCAGGGCTTTCAAAAATATTTTTTGATCACGCCCTAGGGACGGTATGTATTTGGCATGATAGGAGATCCTTGCTCCAGATGCGGGCGATACCGGTAGTCTCATACAAGTACCGTAGGATACAAAGACATAAGGGTCGTGCCGGTATCAGGGGGTTTTTTTTTCGGAACCAAAGTTGAGAAATCGACTGTCAGCTGTTCGTGCGGCGAAGGAGAAATATCTCCCAAATCGTCCGCCCAACAGCGATGCCACCTTGTCAATCGATACGTTTGCTTCATGAGTCCTGCCGCGTTCTCGCCCGCTTTTTGAGACCCCTAAAGGGAGAACTTTTGGCTAAAAGGGGATCGGATAAGGTGAACCGATATACGAAATCATTCTGTCGGGGAACACCCTTCCTCCTGCTGTTTCTTCGATCCATATTAGATGGCCCTGAGTTGGCTGAGCGTAGCGCAGAGCCTCGTCGCCATGGGCTCTCATGCGTAAAACGAGGCGCCCAGTAACAGATAGAGAAGTCTCTTTTATATTTGTCCTTTTAGAAAAGATAAGTGCAAGCCGAGGCTACGACTGCACCTGACAAAATGCCCGGGAAATGCTGGGGGAGGAGAGACGGCACAGAGGCCCCGGGGAACACGTCGGCGACTGTCTTTTTTTTTTTCCACCCGGGAAGTGTTTCTGTTAATCTAATCTATTCGGACATACATCCAATGCATATTGTACTCGAGTACACTTGTATAGCAGTTTCGAGTCTCCGGAGCTGGATCCCGGGGGGGTAATTGAATCTGTGGAGCACTGTAGTGAAGGGACGACTTTGGTTAGTTCCCTATTGGTTTCTCACATCATTGCAACAGGGCAAAGTACCGGTAGGCTGTGATGTCCAACTGTTTTTTTCTCTCTTGATCTGCTGTTACCCCCGCCCCTGTCTACTTGTACTCTATCAGGACGGTAATCCTAGATTGGTTATGCCGCACTCCTGTGAGCAGTTGGTGCCCTGCGAACCAAGACCCCAGATCTCTCCTGCGCTTTTTTGGTTCGCCCGCAATTTCTCACAGCGCAGGAGCCACGCCAGAGTGATCTTCTATATCGCGTCCTAGCCTGGAATAACTCACATACTTGTACATGCGGCGGTTTCCCCTGGAGAAATTTGGATTTGGACATGCTTTCTGTGAAAAGAAAAAAAAGAAAAGAGAAGAAAAGAGAAGAAAAGAAAAGAAAAGAAAAAAAAAATGGAAATGGGGCATGAGTGTTCGTGGGGGAAAGACAACAGAAAAGTAAGGGAAGAAGGGATGGATGTGCTGTGTGCTATCAACTTCTGGCTTTTCGCTCTCCATCAGCCTATGAGAATTATGGATTGTCTGGGCGATCTTGGATCCCACGGCTTTGTGATAGGCTGCCCCCCCCAACCTGCCGCGAAAGAAACCTGGATAACCTTTCGGGGAGTAACCTATGGCATCTGCAGAATTATGCAATCGGGTAAAGTACCATGAGCTAGCTTATAACAGATACGGTAGGACATGGGGCATACACCGGAGCCGTTGGGGTACTTGTGAGGTACCGGTACTCGAGCACAAGTACAAGTACATATACATATGTACATGTAGGAGTGCAAGCCTGGGAGATCGGATCTATGGTACCAGTACTCGAGTACATGGTACATGCACAAGTATAGATAGACTACCTCCCGACTTCGATGCGTTTCATCGGAGGGATACCGGTGTGGCTGGTGCTTCGAAACATTCGGTATGATAGATGCAATGCCAAGACCATTTCCTCTCCACACCATCGACCGGGAAAGAAACAGAGAACGGAGGGGGGCAACGGCACACAACCACCCTACGGCTCTTGCACAACACATTCGAGATCACGGCAGACGGAGACATTGTCGGCTCGTGTACCACTAAAGCCGTTTGTGCCGGATCTCCCGTTCCTCTGCCCCCGCCTTCTTTCTCCCTTCTCTCTTCACCTCATTTCGCGAGCTTGTTCACATCATGCCCATCACTATTGCCCGCACGTTAATTTTGAGAGCAGCGAGTCTTTCTCGCTCGCCAGCTGTCAGGAGACAGTCAACCAAAACCACCGACACCGATAAGGTTAAGAGAAGCTTTCGAGGACAATTATACGACTCTACGGCTCAACGGATACGGAATGAAAGAGCAGCATTGGCGGGTGCGAAGCTTCGGAGCGGGCCTGCTGAGGGGCAAGCGGGTTCCGAAAAAGCTGGCGGTACTCTCGCTGGAATCTTTGGTGAGCCTGCTCTCGGCCGTTTACTGCCTTCCCCTGGATTTGTATGTCCAGGCTTTCTTCGATCGTTCATCCGATTTTGGAGGATACCTTGCTGATTTTCTTTCAAGCTGCTGGAGCTGTCGCAACCGTTTTCTATTACCTAGGTTCACTCTCCGTTCCTGCGCCTCCGACAAGCTCTACATCACCGCTAAAAAATTTTCCCTCACCAAAACATGACCTTTCTAAGTTGAACCTTGAAGCCTCGTGGACTGAGTTTGTTGCTCTTCTCGGCCCGGAACATGTATCGACGGCTGAGGAAGACCTAGCCCGCCACTCAACCTCCGAATGGTCTTCCCACCATGGGAGCACGAAGACCCCCTTTCTCATCGTTTACCCGTCGACAACCGAAGAGGTTTCCGGCATTGCCAAGATATGCCATCAACGCCGAATCCCTATGACTGCCTTCTCGGGTGGGACATCGCTTGAAGGACATTATGCCCCTACTCGTGGCGGTGTCTGCGTGGATTTCTCGCGGATGGATAAGATCCTTCGGTTACATAAAGAGGATTTGGATGTGGTTGTGCAGCCGGCGGTAGGATGGGAACATCTCAATGACGTTCTCAGTGACGATGGCCTTTTTTTTCCCCCGGATCCTGGTCCGGGGGCGCAGATTGGTGGTATGGTGGGGACGGGTTGTAGCGGGACTAACGCTGCTAGGTATGGTACAATGCGGGAATGGGTATTATCTCTGACGGTGGTTCTCGCTGATGGAACTGTCATCAAAACTCGGCAGAGACCCCGGAAGTCGAGCGCTGGCTATGATTTAACAAGGATGTTCATTGGAAGTGAGGGGACTCTGGGCTTTGTTACCGAGGCTACTTTGAAGCTTGCAGTGAAACCTGCAAGCGAAAGTGTTGCCGTTTCGAGCTTCCCTACCATCAAGGATGCAGCGGAGACTGTTGCGGAGGTGATGGCTAAGGGTATACCTATTGCTGCGGTTGAAATTTTGGACGATGTCCAGATGAAATGTATCAATCAGAGCGGAAGCACGAGTAGAAGTTGGAAGGAGGAACCAACGCTGTTTTTCAAATTTGCTGGTAGGTCTCCTGCCCTTCCGTCTCGTGCGCTAAACAGATATCTGAGCCTGACTTCTCCCCCGGTGAAGGAACACAGTTGGGGGTCAAAGAGCAAATCGCTTTGGTGAGGCAAATCGGAAAATCACATCGTTCTCAATCATTTGAGTTTGCCCGTAATAGTGATGAGGCCTACGAACTTTGGTCTGCAAGGAAGGAAGCACTTTGGAGTGTCATGGCTCTTCGCCGCGACGAGAATGATCGGTATGACGACTGCACTTGTCTTGAGGCTCCATTCATTCATCTTTGCTAATCTGCTTATAGCGTTTGGACGACGGATGTCGCGGTACCTCTCTCACGACTAGCAGAAACAATAGAAGCCGCAAAATCCGATCTCAAGGCATCCGGTCTCTTAGGCAGTATGGTCGGTCATGTTGGCGACGGGAATTTTCATTGCATTTTATTATTTAACGAGAGCGAGCAGGAGGTGGCAGCTGGGGTTGTGCATAGGATGATTGAACGCGCGGTGAAAATGGAAGGGACGGTTACCGGTGAACACGGGGTTGGTCTGGTTAAGAGAGATTATTTGGAGGGGGAATTGGGGGCGAGCACGGTTGACGCGATGAGGCGAGTAAGTTTTTGCCACCTGCCACTGATTGGATGAGTGCTTTTTTATTTTTTATTTTTTACTAATAGTACGTGTTCCAATATGGGGGTAGCTGAAACTTGCGTTTGACCCTCTTTGCTTGCTTAATTGCGATAAAGTGGTTCGTGTGGAGCCAAAGGACAAGAAATTGGGGTGAATAAAAAGGAAAGCAATATGTCAGTGAACCAAAGTAGAAGTACTTGCTTATGCATTGCATAACGTGTAGCAACTATGATATATTATTTATGTAATCATTGCCCCACCTCGAAACGTTAATGACCAGTCAGCATCAGGCGCAGATGTTTCGTTGATGTTGAATCAAGCTTTAGTGTATCGCTTAATTTTCAGTCTGCCAGATCCGTGCCAACAGTCTGCCGTTTATGGAAATATTGAACGGCACTATTACCGCCGAATCTCGGGATGGTGGTACGATTAGCTCGGGGAAATACCGGCAGCAAGTGAAGGGGAGAGAGAGGGGCAGGTGGGGATTTGTGATTGTGATGTCTTTTTTTTTTTTGCTTTTGAAAGGGCAAGAAACGGACTTTGGCAGCAGGTTCTGGAAGATTCCACTAGGCAGTGGGGAAGCCCATGCTGTATCTTGTCATTTCCCCTCATCGCTGTTGTCATCAATAGACAGTTTCTTATGCCACTAGGATATCCTTCTCATCCGGGTAGCTGAACCAAAGAAGAACCCCTCTGGCGGACTGTTGGATGAGCCGCGACAAGCGTACCCTTCACCGGTTGGTTCCTCTTCCGAAACTCATCTATTGGTATCTTTTCGGATGGTCTCGGAGGTTGTGTGATCTATACAAGGACTGAAGTCACCACTCCCCAAGGTGTTGGATTCCTTTAGTGCTGCTGCGTTCTCGAGCCATGAACTTAGCGACCCGGCGAGGCCTGGAGCGCACGCTCTTACCTGGATGGCATTTGTGACACCGCCATCTAGTATCGCTGGGCTACACTTCTTACCCGCTGAGGTTACAAAAGCAGTCACATAATCCCACAAACATACCGCATTCCGCACCGAGCCCAACAATCCCTCTAGTACTCGAGGATTCAGGGCATCCTGTACGAACAGCTCGGTGCTTTATCGAACTGGCGTATTCTATTCGTACGGTGCACTTACGGATACCGGTTTACGTCGTTTCCGCCCTTGCTCAAGTCTTACCGTGTCTGCCCGGACTCCCGGCTACCAATGTTTTTTGTCCTTCGATGAATGGTACGTATATATTGGGGGCTCTTTTCGCAGTGGGAACAGTGGGATTCTGTGGGATTCGTTCTCTCATGTTTTCCTGCCCCGATCCCCGTAAAATGCACCCTGTGGATTGAAAGCGAGAGCAGCATTCCATGGGGCCTTGTCGGGCTATCCTTGAGCCATAATGAATTAGTAGGCCGCCCGGTGGAAAAGTGGGGGCACACTAATTCTTAACAGCTCCCCGATTGAGGTTGGGCTTGACAATTTGCCTTCATTCCCTCCTTGGCGTCATATTGATCGTGGAACGTCACTCGCTGCTGTACACCGGACCATCTCGGCTCGCGCGGCAACTGCCATCCGAGAACTCTTGCCGTGTTTGGATGTGTTTGGATCTGCTATCTCTTTTTTCGCTTGATAGGGGCTGGTGTCGGTAGGACGTTATATTTTGCTTTTCTATTTCGGGAACTGGGGCTAGATATACCGTCGCTGCTGCAGAAGTCGCCGGTTTGTCGATCTTTCGGCTCCCTTAGTTTTTCTTTCTTGATGCATGGTAGGGGTTTAGATCGGTTCCTTAACCCGAGTTCGCCGCTAAATAATGTGAAAAGTGGGCTGAGGGGAAATGGGTTCCGGGAGGGGGGGATGAACAAAATCTTTGACAAGTTCCGGTACCGACGATATCTTTTGAATCGGTAATATTAACCTACGTGTTGAGCACCATTGCAGGGGATGCACCCGAAGCACTGGTAGTTAGTGCCGGGATTATACAATTCTGCGATGGGGTTAGGCGTGCCGATGATTGGCACAGGGTACTGTACAGCAGTTAAGTACTAGTACCTTACGATAAACTCAAGCACGGTACTGCCGAGACCTTCGCGGGAAATGTCTTGCATATGCAGGTGCCAGATGAACCGGGTCACTCCACCGTTGTGGGTGGGGTGGCAATTGATAGGACATTTAGGGACCTGGATGTAGGGGCGTCGGGAAGAGAGTAAGCGGTGACGATCTGAATACATAACTGGAGCAACTATCACCCAGTCCTTGTGCTGCCCTGAGGGCTATCCCAATTGGTGGAAGTATGTATCATCGGGCCTTTCTCTCCTTACTGGTTAAAGTGGAGGATGTTCACCTCTGAGAGTTCGGATAGCCTATTCATCAGGGATGGGTGTCTGAATGCATCGAGTGTGCTTGCTTGCTTGAGGGGAAAGAATTTCCAAATTGAGGTTTTGGTGTTGGCAGTCTCGTTCGCTTATTTTCTAACCAATATACCCTCCCCCGGAAGCAGCGATGGTACGTCTGGTTTGGGATTTTCGGTGCGGTGTCACTGATCATCGCTCGTGCGTTGTGGGGCCTGGTCTAGAAGGGCCACCATTTCTTGAAGGGTTCTGGAAGTGTGCAGATTTTACCAGTCCCCGGCATCCCTGATGCCTGGCCTACCAGAGAGTGGTCCTTGCCTGTGATAGCTCTGCCCGGCGTGAGCGCAGAGCTGTAACTACGGCTGCGTGGTGGACCTGAATCCTTGTACTCGAGTATTTGGTTGTTTAATCACTTGTTAGGTAATAAGTTCTGGAGGAGTATTATAAGCAATAGGCAAGAAGTACGAGTGCACGTATATGAACACAGGATTATAAGTTGACGTAGCCAGCTGTAGGAGTGTTTGACCGCTACTAAATCCATCGCCCTATGGCCGAGCTCTTCTTGTCTGTTATCCCACTATCACTGGATCATAAACTGAATGCATGTTAGGACACTGCCTGGCCTTAGCCTGGTTGGAAAGATAAGCGCCGCCTTTGACTAGCCTCTGCTCCGTGCTATGGCGGCAGATTTCCCCTTACAAACAACGCTGATAGGTTGGAAAGTTTTCTGGGGGAAACCTACTCTTTCTTCGCGATCGACGGGCGAAAAAAATCTTACCTATCTCCCCCATAAACCTACCTATTGCCCGTCCCACAATAGTAACCCCACAGGCTAATGGTATGCTTTTCATCGGGTGCGACGGCAAATGCTCAGAATAGTGTCTGCGAGTTTTGGATATACATGTCCACGGTAATTTTCTACACGGGAGTTATTGGGCCAATGCCGTTTGGTCCACATTTTTTTGACCTTGGAAACTCATGAAAACAAGAGTTGTCAGCTCTGTAACCAGGGGGGGTTCCTGGGTAGGTGGTAGTTGTTGCCTCCTTTGGCTCAGGCTATCATTGGCTAGTGGGGAATAAGATTGTCGACAAAGGACTTCCCCCAAACCACGCACGCAGGTTTTTGCTCCACTCAGGAAGAAATTCACCTACCGATCACTCGGCTTGGTGACGGACTGAGAGTCCTCAGCTTGTTGTGTGCCAGGTGACATGGCAAGGTACATATTGAAAGAGTGATGGTGCATTCCGAGTCTTAAGCTCCTCCGGAGCACGTGGTACACGGCAAGCTTGGCCCTCTCATAGCTTTGTCTTTATAAAGAATTGTGGGAATTTTTTTACTAATTCTCGGGATCCTCCCCTGAAATCGGTAGTCTTCACTCTAATGGATCTCGTCCTGCCAAGGGCTGAGAGACTAGAAGCCTGCTCGTGCATGATGAGGGTGGATGGAGAGCACAGATGAATGAAGCAACACAAGTGCGATGATGATAAACTCGAAATGCAAGAAAGTGAGGAAGGATGGTGAACGGATGGGTGATCAATGATCGTCTAGCTAAGAATAGAACGGAAGATATATATCTCCAAAGAAACAACAACTCTGGAACTCCAAAGAAACACCACGAACACAAAAGAACCACACCATCCTGACGAACCATGATCCTCCGTGCTCCACAGCAATCCAGAACTTTCATGAACCTGCGACAAGGAACTAGATGCCTAGGAGCACGAGGTGTGAAAGGAGCCGATCCCCGTATCCGATGCCCTATGGCAGCGGGTAACAACGCGAACAAGGGGCCTGGCACCCGAGCCCTATAAGCGCAAACCATCTATCCGCTAAGCTACTATCCTGCTTGCCCGACAGGCACTCCAACACTGGGAGCGGTTCCTAGCGCACGACACTCAGAGGTATTTGAAATCGCGAAGGCAGAGGCTAGAAGTGCTCCACCTTTCTGTAAGGCTGGTGCGCTAATCCGGATGGAAAGATTATCGTCGCTTCCTCAGTGTGTCCCGAGTGATACCCTGTGATCTCTGTAGAGCTGTTGATGATCCCTCAATCCTCCATAGGGGTATCCTATCAACGACAACCCCCGATTTAAAACTCGCGGAGGATTCACCGAGGCACAGCCTCTACCTCTCGGCTATCCCCGTGACCATTATGTGGCAATAGGTGCCGTTGGGGCTGGGACGAGTCATAACACAAAGCACGACACCTTTCCCCAAAGCAAAGCTGGAGAGAGATGAGATTTCAGCCTGACATTCCCTACATGGAAGTTATTCGCTGAACTATTGTTCGTGAGGTAGCACAAAGACAATGCGGGGCATCCGGCAGTCTGGTTAGGTTGTGTAACTGCCCCCCAAAACAAGGCAGCAGCAGGACCGGGGCCGGGAATTTCACATCAGCTCGTTTCGTATTGAGATTCGTGAAAAATATATGATGAAATTTGGGTGATTCTGCTCTAGGATAGATTTGTGCAGGGGGAACTTGTGTCTTTGCTCGAACCTGCTATACTGGACTGGTTGGTGTGGGCTGGATCAAATTCCAGCCTCAAGGACAGGGGAGAATTACCGGTATTGCCTTACTCCAACAGACACACGGGGAGAATAGCGGAGGGGAAAGGGCCTCAGCAGCACGGGAAGAAGCTATCTTGTATCGCTGGGCATAGTAGCTGCGCGCAGCTCCTTCATTGATTTAAATAGGGCGGGCCACGGTATTGTTGTCTCAATGACTCGCACCTGCCAGGGCAGGGTAATCTGAGGATAAGAAGAACCGTAGGGTTTCTTTGAAAACGAAATTCTGAATGTGTTTGGGCCCTTACCTGGGCCCGTATTGGGGATGAGATGGGAATCATACATGATTTTACCGGATAACTTGGAAGAGATGGGTGATGTTGTAACAGTACCAGTGTGATACCTTACATGAATCCGGGACGCAATAGCAGAGAATCGGCCGACTTTGACGTCTTCTTTTTCTCCGCCTTGTCTTGCTTTATCCTCTTCATGGTATCGTATGCACAATTGTGGCTGGACATTCCAGATTGAGCGAAATGTAGATCATATATCATATCTTCTGCATTTTTGGCCTACCGGCGCGGCGCTCAGCACTCGTCTTGTTGTGTCAAATTACCGGCAGTATGATTCACGGATGTGGTCGATGCCGGGACAGGAAACATTTGTGGTGGGGGGCGGCTGTCTGACCCCCAGAGTGAATGTTATCTCACCGCAACAATCTCCCGGTTGTGGGTTTGCACCTTTTTATTTTACGAGTGGATTTCCGGAGCCACAAACGAAGATAACCTCCTTTAAAGGTGAATATTTTCTCACCGCGACAAGTTGCTGATTGTAGGTTTGCACCTTTTTTATTGTACAAGTGGATCGCCTGAGCCACAAGCGAAGATAGCTTTCTAGAGCTCTTGGTGACAACACTCGCATTCGTGATGCAGGTAGAGGGGGTGCACGGGTCAGCCCTACCCATACCATGGTGATTTGGCGGGGGGGGCAGCTTACGCGCGGCTGCTACTGTATTTGCTCCAACGCAATGGCTTCCAGAGCTGTCAATTTCAAGTGTGGCTTGCCTCCGGAGACGGCAGTGTGAGTGAAATTGACGATCTCACTCCTCTCATCTTGGGCTTAGGGGGTGAGCGTAATTCGGCGGTGATTTCAGTTTCACTGAACAGAGTTTGGTTCTTTTTTTTTGAAGGTGGAAGAGCATCGGTGAATCCCCTACTCCTCCTATAGTACCATAGTGACCCCACGATATACAAGTACCGTGGAGATGTTTTCACACAAGGCGGAAATTATTTTACAGGCTAGCCCGAATTAGCTATTGACTATCTTTCTAATGGGCACTTTTACTGCTCTCTGAGTGGCCCAAGTGACTTACAAGCCAATAACACCCTGGTGGCTTTGCCCCGCCTCAATCCCCGCCTCTATCCTCGGGTACAAATACTAGTACAGTACTAGTACAAGAGTACGGCACCATGCCGGTGCTTTGGGGGGGTGCAACAAACAGAAAATACCGTTTCAGCAGGAAGTGGCAGTGCTCCCTGTTGGGAGCGCTGCTCTTTGGCCAGTGAGAGCTCGTAAACTACCCCGAATTACCCTGTACGCCACAGGGATCCTCTAATAAACAAGTCCTGGTGTGGCGTGGGTGGGGCAATCATTTTCTGGGCAATCGTTTTCTGGGCAGAGAGAGTCGGCGTGTCGACACCTGACCCCCCCCCCCCCGGCGAATGCACTTTTTCTTTTCTTTTCCTGCTCTCCCAGAGCAGGGAGGCATGGTTCTCGAGCAGAAGAAAAAAAATTTCTCACGCAGCCTCGCCTGATGAATTTGTTGTCCAAGAAATGTGCACGAATCCATAGCTTTTTAATCCCGCCCACAGAGCCCCCAGACCTCCTATTTATATCTTGCGGTCCGACCCGCGTAACCTCCACACTAGTCAACTAATCGAGGAAATTAAAGTTGCGCGCGCGCCACATTCATCCCATACCCATTGCTGGAGAAATCGACCGTCTCGTCTAATCCGGAAGAGAAAATCGAGTCTGAGGACAAAGGTGAGGAACGGAAAGGAAGAGGAAACAACAACTTTAACGGGATGACGAAGTCCTGGGAGAAGCACCAGCAGCTTCTTTACGAGCTGTATATCGAGCAGAAGCATAAGTTGAGGCAAGTGATGCAGATTATGAAGGAAAATCACGATTTTGTGGCTTGGTATGTGTGGGGCGGAGGAACTATTTTCCCTTAACCACCCCCTCTCGTCACCTGAAAGTTAGTTGGTTTATTATTAATGGTTATTAATATAGTCGGAGAACATATATGAAAATGTTCGGCCGCTGGGGATACCAAAAAAATAGGAAGTCTCAAAAGGCCCGCCGAGAGAGAGGCGTGTCGAGGGAGTTAAATGCACGGCTACGTTCTGCCGCCGAACGACCGCGGGAGCGGCTCGATATGGCTTCAGAGACAGTGATTGATACCTGCGAAACAAATGGATATAATCCCACAATCAAAATTAATGGTAAGACCACTCCACCCTCCCTCCGCACCACCGGTGGTCAGTACTGAAGCTGCAGGAGACCCCGAAGTTGCTCACCAGACCGAAGTAGTAGTTCGAGGAAGCACTCCAACAGAGGCCACTGTTGGGTCGGTAGTTAGCCATCAATCCATCGGTGGATCTTCCTCCCCCTTAGATAAGTTCAGGGATTCAGACGACGTATTAAACAACCCCCACTCCCCGAGACCTATTCAAACGGATATCATAGCTGATGCGCTTTCTGGCACGCAAAGCTATACAAATATTTGCAATCAATCCAAGGACTACTGCTCCTTAACGAAATTGAGAAGAACGCCCGGCTCTCTGGGAACCCTGGTACCCTCCCTGATCAGTTCCTCCCCAGCCCGGCATCCACTGACCATTTATCAGACCCCCACCTCCCTGTGATGTCAGGATACCGGCAAGCCCTAGGAGGGGTCCTTTCCGGCGACACCCTTGTTAGTTAGGGACGACCGGGCAGATAATTTTTTAAGTTAAATAATACTATGGTAACTCTACGTGTCAACATGCAGTTTAACACGACAGGGGATGAGGGGCGGGTTTCTCATTTATCTTTACGACTTAAGTTACAGCGGGTGGCCGATGTGAAATTGGGGTATCGGCGGAGGATAGTTCCCGGTCCAACGCACTCTTCATTCCTTTTGCTTGTCAGCTCTTTTATTTATCTTGCAGGCGTATCGCAGCATCTATCTTAGCTGAGGATCACGGCTTGTCATTCGGTTGGTTACGATGCATATTTGTCACGCTCATTTCCCTATCGTCGCTTGGACGGGCATTCGGTTTTCGGAGCGAATGGCTGGCGATCAGTTCGGTTATTCACACTTCCACTTTATTTCCTTGCGTCTAGTTCGCTTATTTGTTGGTGTTGGGTTAGTTGGTTGGTGTTTGGTGTTTGGGCGGTTGGTGTTTGGTTGATAGGGCGGTCAGTCGGTAGGCTTGGTTCACCGCCCGTCATTCAGTCTGATTATTCGACGGTTGGGTGGGTGGTGTTATGGATCTTTGAATTAGGTGTGGGGGCTATTAGTTGGGAAGTGTTGTGGGTCACGGTAGGGAAAATGTCGGTATAGGTTTTAGTATGCAGAAGAGAAGCACTCGTTAGTCGGGGGAGGGGGGGGGGGAGGATGGGGAGCTCTACAAGTACACTCATTAGACGGAACCAGAGTATTTCATTTGTTCCGATAGGACGGGAGAAGCACCGGAAGGATGGTTTTCACTTTCTGGGAAACAAAGCTCATTCGTTTAGTTTCTTTACTTTGTCTGGTTTTACTTTCCTGGGCGGACGGGATTGCGGGAACTTGGGGCCGGCTGGGGTTCTCCTGTTGTATCGTGTTCCTGGCGGATGAGATTTTTCAACTCCTGTCATCGGTCGAGCGTACCGAATTACGATACAATAATATTATGATACCTCGCACTTTGAACTCCAAACTTTAAAGAATCATCCTCGTGCACGGGTAACTCCTCGCGCTTACATTGGTGACCCTCGCTAAACGCCCACCACCCCGCGACTGCCCCGTCCCGTGAAATACCGAAAGCCGGGAGTGAGTTTGGCATATGAACCCGACAAACCCCATTCTCGGATTCCGAATTTCGGACCCTTGATACTGGGGCTTTACCGCTGTCTACTCGAGCCGCTTCCAAAAAAAAGGAAGAGTCTTTCTGGAGACAACCGAGCCGCCGCGGGATAGTAGTACTACCGTAGTACTGTACAACTACGGTATATAGCAACAGGAAGTACAGTACCGGTACTCTAGTAAATTACCGTGCCGGTACCGTATTTATGCACCACTTGTAGTAGGTCAGATGGTTTCAGCCCTTTGAGATACTGTCGCTGCCTACAATCTTGGATCTCATTACAATAGCCCCCTTCCACAATTCTCTCACCGGCAATCAACCAAGTTTGAGCCGACCATGGGCTGAAATTCCACCGACAACACAATCACAGCGTTGGATTTCAAGAGCTCTTCTAGTGCCGCCTGAAAATGCACTATCCTACAGTACTAGTTTATCGGTGGAGTTAAGGGAATGGCGAATACCGCCCCGGTCGATGAGATCCGACACATCCAGAGACCTACCTACCAGTACCGTAACCTTAGACTATGCGCGCGTCAGGAGAGCGCTACGGTAAGTTAGATCATTCCTCAGGATCCTTTCCCTCAGAACGCGGAGATTACCCGGCTGCCGGAGATACCGATACGGGTACGGTGGTGGACTACAGGGGGTTTTTTGCGGTAAGTTTCTGTACTACCGGTATCGAACTTCATGCAGGACTCCTACACCGATACGGCTTCTTCCAGGGAATGGGAAAGCGGTGCTCAAAGTAGGCTAGAGAGCGGGTCGACCCGGGGAAGCTACGTGGGGCGAGGTGCGCGGAGGGGGGAAAGGCAGCATCCAGAAATCTCGATTGACATCATTCCCATCCCCTTTAGCTACGGGGGAAGAGATTTAGAGGAGTATAATACGAGTGCGAGTACTCGAGTACAGTGTGTCGGAAGGTGTTCTCGATGGGATAGTCCGCCTGATACTCCTTCCCTCCGCATCCCCTCCCGGGCCTTGGTGAGGAGGGGAAAAAAGAGGAATGGCGGGCTGTATCATACATGATACAAGTACAAGCCCGGTACGACCTCCAACGTGCCAGGCGTACTTGTGGTACCGTGCACATCCAACCTCCCAATCATTTGCCTTGTAGCTGGAAAGCCTTGTGCCCACCCTTTATAATACAGCACGGGAATGCACTGCTGGCAAGTCAGGGTATGACTGTTGGACAGAACACTGGAAAGGAGTTTTGGCCCTGTTGTTTGAATCAAATTTTTTTTTTACCGAGGCAAAGGTTATCAGCCTCAGGGGGTCCTTTTGTCGAAAAAAAAGGCACTGGATCGATAACAGCAGTTGTTAACTCAGTTGGTTCGGGCTCGCGGTGAATAATGTTGGTCTCAAGCCAAGCCCACTTCCCTTTTGGTGTATCCATAATTTTCAACGAGAGAGGTGATTGGCCGGAGGAGCCCAAATTGCTCAATTGCGGTGTGGATATTCAGCCAATGGTGCTGTGTACGTCCGGTGTTGGGGTGCCCTACGGGGTGGGAAGGCCGTTGGAGGAGGTACCATAATATCGTAGAATGTGCCGGATGCACTGGGTGCAGGGAAACGGCAGGCCGTGTGTGTTGTTGTTGTGGTATGGGATTCGTGCTGGGGATCGAGTCGAGTGGGCCTATCTGTCTGCTGTTTGTATTTTATGGACGGCATCTTGGCCGGCGGCTGCGTTGCCGGATGGAGCAGCACTGTGCTAGACTGCCCTGATTGGCCATGCGGGTTTTCGGGAAACAAATGAAAAAAGAGGAACTCTGGAAAAATATTATCGAGAGGATTATTTTCGGCTATCATACTACCGTACATGTACTATGCTTTTACCCCGAACGCTCTCTGTCCGTAGTGTACCGCACGTTGACCTCACCACATGGTCCATAGCGTGCCTGATTGTGACCGATTGACAAAATCTGTCGGGTTTTTTGGAGTAACAAGAATGCTCACCAACTTGATCTAAAAAAAAAAAGAGGGCTCGCTTCTATATGCTGCGCTAGCCTGTGTATGGTAAAGTCTGTCGACAGCACTAGGACTCGTGCTTGTACGGTACTTGTATGATACCGTGCTATCATAATAGAATGCTTCCTTACATAGCTAGAGTAGCACCCCGGGACAAAGGGCAAAACAACAGAACCTATTATACCGATGACCAGCGATTATAATAAATGGCGAGTTCTAGATATACAGGGAGGCATCATACTGCAGGGCATACATTTCCCGACGACAGAGGCTAGTTCGGGGGTACTTTATTTAGACCTGAGTGGATGTTCGCTAAATTTTACATGTTATGTGTGATCCCTTCATACCCCCGAGCTAAGATACGGGTTGCGGGGTTGCTGTGTCGGGCGGGTATGATATGATAAGAGTGATAGGGGGGACGAACCTTCTTTTCCTGTGGCAATGTCTCGATCAGAGGATGCTACTCGAGTACAGGGCTAGGACTATCGCTAGAGTTTTGGAAAGCGCTTTTATTATTATTATTATTATTATTATTATTATTATTATTATTATTATTATTATACTGGATATCCACTGTGCACGCATTCTCGTTGTTTTCCGTCGCTCTAATCCCCTCTTCACACTGTGACGGGGGATCTACGATACTACAAACTGGTGCCTCCTCCTACAAGCGTCGAAGTGGGCCGAGATTAATATAGTGATAAGGTATGATCTATCTATCTATCTAGAGTATGGTAGCGGTACCGTATCATACCTCCACGACTCCCCTCAGACTATTTTAATCTCAGGGTTAGGTTTCCACATGGGTGATACTAATTTTGAAGTCGTCCCAAACCCAACTCGCGAGTATGATACTTGTACCGGTACGGTACTAGTACGGCGCATCCGGAGAGCTGCACGGTAACCCCGAACGGGTTTAGAAAGGTATAATATAATTAGATTAAATTCTTATTTTTGACAATAGTATTCTGGTCTCGTGAGTCTATCTATCTATCGTATCCACAGACGAAGGGTAACTTGAACGGGGTTGGGAAGAAAGGGAATTAGAAAAAAATGAATGAATGAAAAAGAAAGAAAAAAAAAAGAGGACGAAAGGGTCGATAACACTAGAAGTGAATGGAAAGAAAAAAGGAAGAGTGGTTGGGGCAGGCAGGGGAAATGCAGAAATGAGAGTGTGCTGTGATGCCAGCAACACAGTGTTGGGCAGAGCCAGGAGGTAATAGGTTCGGGTAAGTACACTTTGGTCATGAAAACATAATTCATTGCGGTAAACCACAACTCCGCAGATCCCCAGACCGGGGGAAAAGGAGAATAAGGGATAGGCATTAAAAAGAGAAAAGATTAAAAAGCAAGAGAAACAAAAACTCCCTTCTATGAAACATGCATCATGCTCTGAACCAAACGCCGCGATAAATGCTCCTCCGATAATGCAAGAAATGGCGCGAACGAGAATAATATGAAAAATTATAACACCCAGCGGGGGTGAGGTTTATGTTTTTTCACTAACCGTTGTCCGGATCGTGCTCTCATAGCTGACAACCCGCTTCTTCTCTCTCGAAGCCTTCTTGGCCCATTTCGGAATACTAAACTTGAGGCCGCAGCCCTTAGGCAGTCTTAACTTCAGCTTCTTAGGCTTTCCCTTCGACAAGGTAGACGGGTGGGGTGCGGTCGCCGGACGCGTAGGAGATGCGGGGATCTTTTCAGACTGCACCGATGGTACGGCTGTATGTGGTCTTGGACTGGGTGCCTTTTTTGGTTCCGATTGTCGCGCGAGCTCTTCTACGCTCGCAGCGGTACCGGGTCGGACCTCGTCGCTTAAGTCCTCAAAGAAGCGGGAACTCTTTGGGGATGAATAGAGGGAGTTTGGCGCTACCAGAGAACTCGTGCTGAATCGGGGGCGTGCCACGGAGGTTGTACTAAAGTTTCGACTGGCTATCGATACTGAGCTTGGTTGGGGATTTTCTATCGAGATTATCCGGGTCGAGGTTGCGCTAGCTGCTGAGTCTGTGCTTTTTCGCTCGATCAGCGACTGACCGACCACTACGGCTTGTCTCCTCATGGATGGCGGGCTCGGCGGTGGACTTGGTGGGAGTGATGGTCTTGAGTGTGTTTTCGGGGGGGGAGTTTGAGGTCGTGAAGTTGATGTTGGGAAGAAGCCAGAATCGTGTCGGTCAAGAGATAAAGTAGTGACAGAGGAAGGAGGCGGTGAGCTAAAGATTCTCACTTGTACAGCTGTTGAAACTTCCGTAGGCCCGTCAGAGTTAATAGATAATGTTTCTGTTGAATCCGCACCACTACTGTTGGGTCGAGGGAGGTCCAAGTCGCTAGTGCCTTCAGTTTGGACCAAAGTGTTTCTACGGGAGCGCGTCGGAAGGTTATTTTCTTCTTCAACTTCAATACCAAAAGCTGCCCTTCTGTCCTCTTCGCATCCACTTTGTAATGAGCTTGCTGGAATGGTCTTTCCTCTTGGCGTCTCGAAGCCTAGCAATGCCTTAAACCATGAACCGTCAGTTTGCACACCCGCATCGACGTAATCTGTTCCTTTTGTATCTATATCTGTCCGTTTTGTCTCAGTCCCTAACTTAGATTCTGATCCAGCATCAGGCGCCAGGTCTGCGCTGCCCCCGGACTCGGGCCTAGGTTCCTCGATCGCGGCGACCGATTCGGGTTCGGCATCTGTTTTCGAAATGGTGATGGATGGTGTAGTGATGGTGACTGGTTCGCCGCATTTGAGCCTCTGCTTCCGGTAGTCTACGTATGAGAGTGGTGATTCGGCAAGGTCGTACTCGTCGTCCGGCCATGAACCTGCCATGACCCCCCGAATGGCGTCGAAAAGAGGTAGTGCAGGGGTATCCATTAGGCGAACAATTTTGCGAATGATGTTTTTTTTTTTTTTTGGAAAACCCTGCAAATTGAGTAAAAGAACGACGATAGGGAGGAGTTAGGATTTTTTCTCTCCACACTCCCTTCTCGTGTGCGCACCCACTTGCGATATATATCGTACGGCGGTTCTCCAGTCCGACCATGATGACCGGTCAAAAGACAGCCAGGCGTGACGTTTCTTTCGTTCTCCGGTCGATGGCAAAGTTCTCCAAATTTTCATAGGCTCGCTTGGTGGTAAAAAGTGGTGGGATGGGCTCGTTGTCAATTGTTACACAGCCTTAGTGACAACAACCATCTCCGAGTGATGAGCGATGATTGGTTGGCTTGACCACTCTGGAGCCCACTTCCCTCGACGGGGCTGTCCGTTTTCGAAGGTGAGGAAAAAAGTGTTTTTCACGCCTCCAGTAACGGGCGATGAGCATGACGTATGCTTTATATTTAGGTGAAATGGCCTTTCCCAGGGATTTGATGGGCCGGGTCACACTGCTCGGCCCTGAGAGCGGTGCCCAAGTCTTGCCGCACTCAGAGTTCTGCTCACGTGACCGATCCTATTTGAGCCACTGCCCCGGTGGGCTGAGCCTAACCCATCCACCAGGTAAACCGGAAGCGTGTCTTGAGCGGGAAACACTATTGAGAGGGGGACTAATATCATGGCTCCCACAATCATCTTCGGGGGGGATATGGATACGGTAAAACAGGGAGGGTGTATACATACGACAGCAAAGGCGGAGTCTCTAAAAATTGTAACGTGGCGGAATGCGCTGATCGGGTACCAGTAAGGTACAGCTAACAGACCGGTAGTGTGAATATTTTCTTCTCCCTCTCAGAAAAAGTAAGTCATGCGTCGGAGGGGAGGAAAATGCACCGAGTTAGGTAGCTCCTTGAAACATTGCCGTGGTCGGCTCGTTGCGTGGCATACTTTGGGAGCAGAAGGGGCAATTGTTGCATGAAACTGCAGGAGAGAGGCGCGTGAATTAATTGGCGAGGCTAGTGAGACCGTTCTCCGTAGCTCAAGCCTTCACACACTAGCGGCCCGCTTCATGTTGTCTTTGGTCTCATGAAGAAGTTCTCTCGCTGGGAGAGTGGCTATCCCGCAAGTTTGCAAACAGGAGAAGTGCCGTAAAGAGACTAGTTCAGAATTGCAGTGTTGAGTGCTTAATTGGAATCGGGAAAATCCGTATGTTATAGAGGCCAATTCGAAAGAATTTAGCCATTAATTAATTGCTCACCAATTGCCGCGATGTTATTAGGCGGCCGGACCGCGCACTTGCGATGGTCGTGGCTGCTTGGGTGTGCCTTCTGAACGGGCTTTATTGGATAACAATGCCCAGAGCTCTGACATTTCATACGGGTTTGTGTGGCATGATGCCGGCATTAAGGATAAGGATAGACACTGCGACCGGATTGCCATGGAGTAGTTGAAAATGCAACCAACGGAGCTAAAACCGGTAGCGAAATTTAGGGCTAGCGGGGGCTCCTCTGTCTCGGATTATACTTATTTGGGCTGCAGAACGCATCTGTTGGCTGTTCTGAGTGGTGATGGAAATGATGCTTGGGACATGTTTGGCTTAAGGTCAAGCCCATCTTGTATGGGGTCAGCATCAGGGGCAAGGGGTGATCTGGGGAAGTATCATACGGTCAGGTACAGCGCAGCCCAAATACGCCGATGGGTAGGGCGGGAGGGTAACCGCTTTTGAGCACTGAAGCGGATGAGGGGTGGAGGAGGGAGCACGATGAAATAAGCGGCGGGTGGGAGAGTGCCAGATGGGGGTGATGAGCGGGCACCAACGGGAGGGAACCGAACTTATTGGGGTAAGTGCAGTAAGATAGCCATAGCGGCATGGAATGATTCTGACCGCTGACCACCGGCCCCGTAACAAGACCGCCGTGACACATCCTACGACTACGATACTCTATCCAGAGCAGTCTCTGCATGAACCTTACGAAGGATTGCCCCAAGGATAAACATCACTGAGCCCGACAAAGTGTTTTCCTGAATATTCTCTCTTAAAGTACAGAATCTCTGGCGGGCCCCTTGGGGTGGCTTAACCCCCCATGGGATAAAGTTGCAAAATCTGCCCGTAATAGAGGGACGCCTCAACACTCGCAAAAAACAGATAGCTAGTTGCAACATGGCTCGGCTGTCCCGGCCTTCTGATCTGCGAATTGCTTGCGAAGCCTTCCATCTGCTCGTCGGGTCTTGACGCTGATTGCAACGGGGTGTGCACAGGGCCCGGTCTTTTTTTTTTTTACGCATCGTTAGCAATAGAATGGGAAGGATTGAGTTTGGGGGGTGAGGGGGACATGCCCAACGGCATTAACACGGATTCCTTTAGGGGTGAGGGTTTTCGATAGAGCCCTGGTGAAGGCTACGATGGCGCCTTTTGTGGCGGCGTAGTCTACTATCGATGGAGTGCCCCGGGATGCAGCAACAGGGGTGGTGTTCGGAGCGCTGGGGCCCTTCTTCATATGTGGAAGGGCGAATTTCACTATGGCGAACATTTGTGGGATATTGGAGGTGAACGTCGAGGAAACGGTATCTACCCTTCCCATCAATTCCTATATCTCTAGCTTCGGTGGGGAAGCGAACTTACCTAAATCAATCTCCGCAAACTCCTTACACTGTAACTTATCTTCTTCGATGCGTTATTTCCCGGCGCATCCAATCTCCCATACCCCTTCATGTGCTTCTCAATGATACTCGGCGCATCCCTGTAATTCTCTAAGTCGAACGGTACAAGCAGGCACCTCCTCCTGGCGCATTCAACTAGCCTCTTTGTATCCTCAGCGCCCCCCTGCTCCTGCGACAAGTACACAATTGTGATATCGGCGCCTTGGCGAGCCATTAGTGCTGCGGCCGATACCGCTCTCGCCGCCGGTGATGAGGACGGCATAATCTTTGAGTTTTGCGGAGCCGATGTATTCGCAGAAGCCGTTGGGACACTCAGGACGTGCGGACTCAGAGGCTGGTGCCTTGTATTTTTCCGGGCTTTTTGGGCCATCGTTAGATTGTGCGTTTCTGGCTTCGAGTGGGGATACCGTACCCAGGCAACTTCTGCGACTGCGGCGGAATATTTCCCTTAAACCCTCCACCCAATGCAACCTCTGAACTTGGCATTCTCGCCCTAACGGTCTTTATTATACGGAATTAATATCTCGTGACCTATTGCGAAAAACATGATTTAAAGAAGGAAAAACCTCTCGTAGATATCCTTTGTTAATCAACGGCTCTTTTGTACAGTACTCGAGTACTCCCCATCACCCCCCGGCCATGGTGTGTCTTGGCGGCTCTTGTCCAATGCTGTTGGATTGTACGAGTACTTGTACCGTAGTGGGGGGATGTCATGGTGACGGAGGGGACGGATGATGTCATTGCGGGCAAATGGTATTGGCATGGGTGCATTAGCGACAACCAGGCTCGAGGAGGGTGTCATGTGGGGGAGGATTTGCGAAGCCGGTAGGGGGTTGATGTTTTGCAGCTGATTATCGGGAGTGATGGGTTATGATTTGTGGTTATGGTGGGCTAATTGGGGACTATGATATTTTGTCGGGTAGCGTTGGCTTTTTATGTACTTTGGCTGGGGATATTTTGCGGGGGATTTTCAGGCCTTTGAACTCTTTTGGTTTCTTGGGCTCCAAAGGTTGCAGCATTATCTAGCGGGAACTGCCAGGCGATAGTACGTCAGAATTGGGGTTTTATTCTTAGCTTGTCTCGAAATCGCAATAAGACCCCGGTTCCTAGCACTGTGTAGTCAGGAATAGACTAAACCTTTCGTGGCTTGGATTTTGACGCAATTGTAAGGCTCACCATAGCCGCTTCTTGCTTCAACATATAAAGTCGTGTCAGTGATATTGCCAGGAACACGGATACTCGCAGGAGTCTTCAAAGCTTACAGTTCTTAACTAAAGCTAGCATTATTTAGGTAGATTAACATGCAATGAACTTTCGGAAGACTGCCTATCTGACCTCCCGACATTCCTACCTAAACGGCATGCCTCGCGACGTGACTTAAAGTGCCTACCGGTCTCATCAGAGATGTTGCGGTGTCGGTATCGCCTGGGGTGAGGAACTGTGACCACCGGCAGAATAAGTTTGGTTGCAGCTACCATACCGGACCGGTACTCGTAGTCGTACTTGCACTTCGTAGGCATTGATCAGTTAGGAACACGCAGGTCGACGCTTTCTTGGAGAAACAAATGTCGACCGCCCACGCTCTGCATTCAGCCCTGGATCGTTTGTCACTCCTAGAAGTCCCAATTGAGTTCAAACTCGGTAGACAACTGCCGGGGGCTTTTTTTTAGACATGGGAATTGGGTTTATTGATTGACCTTAGGGGTTCTTACTTGAGCTTCAGGTGGTGGAAGTTTAGAATTGGTCCAAGACCGTGATACCTAACTTGTTCTTGATTTATTCTGCCCAATTGATGGAGCTATTTCTGGGTAACTACTTTATTAGCTATTTTAGTGAATGTAGTGGGTCGATAGAGATAGATAACGGGGGGGAGGTTGCACTCTATTGATGAGGAGGACATTATAATACCCAGCCAGATCCTCAGTTATATATCAACACAACAGTGCGCTCCTTGAGACACTGCTGGACAGTTCTAAATGCAATCGCAAAAGTGCCTGCTGCCTGACCTCCATTTACCAAGTTCCGGGAACTACCGAAAACGCCAAAAACATCTAGTACCGCCTTCATTACGATAACCCCCCAGAAAAAACTGCAGGCTGGTCGGTGAGAAATCCATCATCATGCCCAACATATGCACCCCAAGACCCATACCGAATCACACCGAACCAAGTATCGCCCGAGTCATTAGTACCTCCCCACAGCACAGCAGCGCCGTCGCCTGCTGTGTAGAACAAGAAATACCCCTCAAAAACTTGCATGACCCTAGCCCCCATTCTTCCCTCATACACGACGAATCGCCTATCCCGCCTCGTGCCGTAAGCCCCCCTCCCCTAAACAGTAGTTGCTCCCTGGAGTCTTGATGGCACCTTGTGGCGGCTAACACAACCGGTTGTTCGAGAGCTGCGGTTCGGCATTGCCGTGCGGTCCTTATTATACTCGTGTAACACTAATCTTGCTGTAATTTTTTTGTTGGTCTCCAATGTTGCAGCTCCCAATCGCTAACACCGAGGATTCTTAGTAGCACTAGTTTTGGTTATGGCGGTGCGCAGTGGGTGAAGGGCAACTGCGGTCTGGTTATTTATCTGTGGAAATGATCATTGGTTTTTAGGAGAGGTGCGCGAGACTCCAGGAGTAGTACTGTACATGTATTTGGCATGCAGCGCCTGCGCATTTGGGTCTGAATTTGGTGTGGGTGCCCAGCTTTGGATAAGTAGCTTGCCATACGAATTTTTGATCCCTGTGATCAAGTATTTCTTGATGCTGAATGCTTGCGCAGCACTACCCGTACTGTGTGGAAAGGTTCGAGGTGAGGCTATCAGAGGGGAGGGGGGGTTTAGAGCAAAGGTAGTTCCGGCTACTTCTATTGTACAAGTGCTCGTACAATTGAGATGTTATAATGCGACCTGATATAATGTGATTGTTGGCATGAGGTGTCAGAGGAATCGATAGTACTCGTACTCGTACAACACTTATGACTGCAGATATAGAGACAACGCACATTTCCCGAATACGATATCCTGGAACTAAGAGGGGGAGGGGGGAGAAGAAGAAAAAAAAGACAACACAGGGGAATACCAACAATTTACCTTCTGGCTAGCCTTAACTTTAGGCAGCATGGGCCAATAATCACTTTTACAAATACACACTTCATTATGGAGGAGGTACTTTTGTAAGTACCACTCAAGTACCGTGCCCGTCTTCAACCCGGACACCCCCAAACTACCGGGCTGAGTAGGGCACAGAAGGAATCTGCACAAACCTACATCTAACTACCTACCTACCTACCTACGTCCAACTACCGTGTGCGAGAGTGGGGGAAGGGGGGTGGTGGTGGTTTGCTGCGATATACCAACATGTTACACCCCTCTCACTCAAGCCACCAAATAGCTCACATTCTCATGCTGAGAAAAAGGCCGGATTCGCTCTTTATAAAAACCCCCCTCCTGTCCCGCCGTCGGTGGTCCGGTCATTTCGCACCATTCGACAGATTTTGAGGGGAAAAAAAGGAAGAAATCTTTTTCCCAGAGCGGCGTGAGGGATTAGCGGATTCGATGGATTCCTGATGGATGGAGGGGCAGGGTGTACAAGCACTGTTTAGGAGGGCCCACACCTGGCGATACCTGCGGTGGGCTGGGGGCTAGCATGGTGGATTAGGTGGTCGAGAGGTTCTCCGGTGAGGTGCTGCATGGCCCGCCGCACGATACTCGAGTAGAGGGGCTAGGGCCTTGGCGAAGGAGAAGGAGGGGCGAGTGACAAATCCGAGTTTTGCTTCCATCTGCTCGATAATCTGATTTCATGGTGACTTTCCTTCTCTCTTTCTTTTAGTTCTTTGATTATTTCAATCTCCCGTAAGTTATGTGAGATTCCTTTTCACAAGCATTATGTGCTGATCACCTGGATCGGTCGCGATAGGGTGCTGACACTAGGGAATCCGAACAACAGTTGTTTGTAACCCATCAATCAGTTGTCGCTCACCACTTAATTGTCTTGGTTTTCAGCTCCACAGTGCACCCACAATCGCTATCTACGATACACACCAGCCAATCAGATACAGCAGGGTTAGGGGATATATTTTTCTTGATCCATGGCAATGCAAGCATCCTGGGTATTGATGCCGAGAGTGAAAGCGGGGTTGCTATGTTTTCTTCCCCCCGCGGAATGTAATAGGAGCTCTCCCATAAATAATCCTACCCCTCTTCTTAGTGAATTTCCCCTTACCTTGATCTCTCATCATCGCCCTCATCGCTGCACTCGCGGAATAAATAAGCAAACGGACTGGCAAACGGGACAAAAACCAAATTATCATCTTTAGTTCGAAGGTTCAGGTCGTGCAGGCATGACGGGGTCGACTTTTTCTTCTTCAATACTTCTGCCCCTGTGCCTAGTACTTGTTTATGCGGCTCTTCCAGCCCATGCTTTTGGGGCCGGGAACATCGCTTCCATTTCAACCGTTGAGGGACAGAACTGGAGACATGGTGATATTGAGGATACGTTGTTGGGAATTTCCATGGCAGCTGTGGCCGGTGGGAAGAGGTTTAGCTCTATGGATGTGAAGAGAGTGTACTTTGGGAACTGGTTGAGGGATTATTCGCAGGCGGTTGACGTTGGTGCGGTGAAGTATGTTGAAGGACCTACGGTCAGGCTTTTGGTAAGTTCCCCCTTTCGCGACCTTTGGAATGAATGAGTGAGTAAGCGGTGTTGATGATGAGGCATAGTTGTCGATTCTGAGCTTTATGACTTTCGGGTATGCCACGGGAGAGTTCGAAGTTACCGAGGAGAGATTAGGATGTTATCGGCCAGAGGAGCATATTGGTATGGAAAACCCTTTCTAGTCTAGGTAGCATGCTAATGTAGTAGACAATCCGAAGGATTACGCCGATAATGAGGATGCCCGGCGGTATGATCCTCGACTTCGCGGACCTGTCGATGAGGCTACGGAGCTATCCATTGACCCACAGACTGGGATGAAGAACTACATCGCCAACGAGAGAATCGGGTTCTTGCGAAGTGGAGATCTGATGTGCACTAGCGGTATGAGTTACCACCCTGAAGAGATCCTGTGCAAGTGTTTGCTGATGATCCTGTGTAGCTGGGCTGGTCCGACACCTATTCGGAAGAAGTATTCAACTCGCCCGCAGCTACGGACACACTCGTAACAAGGCCGAACTCTATGAAGCTTTAAGACTCATGGGAACCGGGCTTCATTGCTTGGAAGGTATATCGCAAACTCCCGACAATGTGGGACCGAGCAGGCTAGTTACTGATACGAACCAGACTTCTCTGCTCATTCCAACTACATCGAGTTAGCACTTATCGAGCTTGGCGAAACAGATATTTTCCCCCACGTCGGTTCTCAAACGCAACGCAATATTAATGGGAGAATGATATATCCTCTCGTTACCGGAACCTTTGGCGGTGTCGATTTGTATTGAACACTCTCTTTTCCTGGTCCTAACAGACGCTAATGCTTTCAATAGCCTACATAGCGTTCTAGGAGAAGCTTCAGATAAGCTTATCCAATCCGAGGTGGACCAGCTTGAGTCTACCATTACCGCTGCTAGTGTACAATCAAACCAGGATGGCGGCGAACGCAGTATCATTAGGGACCTGCTGAAGCAACTGAACATTGGTGGATCGGATGACTTGGATGCTCAAGCGACAGGTCTTGAGCAGCAGTCGGAAGCTAAAAAGAACGAACCATGGGGGATCAGAGATGGCGGGGCGGGAGTCAAGCGTGAGATTATGCCGTTCTTGGAATGGCATGACAGGATCATGAAGGCTATTAACGACGCTTTGGAGTCCATTCCCGGACTAACCGCGCTGGTCGAGAAGCTGAGCGAAGCCGTGAGCGTTTTCGTGTTCTCACTTTTGGCACCATACATTCTCCCCGTTGTGGCGCAGGCGAAGGGCGAACTCGCCAATGGGTCTGGAGAGGTCATCGGGGGCGCCCGCGCCAAGCAGTTTGTCGTTTTCGAAGACCATTATAGTAGTGATCCGACTCATAGTATGCTTTCTAAGGACCATTTTACCAGTAAGACGGCTTGTCCCAACGTTTTAGATTCACGGTACTAACGATAGTAGATTTGCTGAATGAGCCGGCTGGTAAGATAGCCAGCGAGACGGTCAAGTATGTAGTCCCCTTACTAATGCAGGCCTGGGATGGCAACTCGGACCCAAACTGGGTCCTTGACCAAATCATCCCAATTTTTCACCACCCGGCATTTGTGGACGGAAGTGACGGGCGCGGTGGGCAGGAGGTTAGACGCAGGATGTTTGGCGTGGTCCAGCAATGGTGGGGGGATATGGCCGAATCTCAGAGGCGATCGTACCGCCGGTCGTTGTCCAGGGAGGGCGTTGAGCAAGGAAGGAATCACAAGGAAGGGCACGACTCTGGGCATGGATGTGGAAAGCCGCTTCATAGGACTAAGCCGAAGAACTCCGGAGGGGAGTTTGGTGGAATTGGAGAGGGTCTAGGGAAGGCTATGGGTGGAGCGATTGAGCAGGCTCTGACGGGGAACCAGGGTGGGGGTAGCGGTTTGGGTGGATTTTTGGGTGGAATGGCAGCGACGGCACTAGGAGAGACGCTCTTGAGTGGTCAGGAAAGTGGGGGTAGGGATGAGGGTTATTCGGGGAGATATGGTGGGAACGTCCAAAGTGCCAACAGGACCCACGGCTATTCCGGGGGAGGACAAAGCCGGCATGGAGAGAGGCATTATGAAAGGCAGGAGACCGGGGGTTCCCACGGCGAAGGCGGAGGATACGCAGCGGCTGGATATAGTGCTGGTGGAGGGTACGGGTATTCGGAACAAAGGTACGGTCAAAGTTATTCCCATGCCCCCATTCACGGAGGTGTGGAACACGGCAGCGGGAGCTATGACGGCGGAGAAAGCGCTATAGTGTTGGATCGCCATCGTCACCCCACACAAGAAAGCCATTCCCACCATCATCACCATAGCCATCATGACCGCCAACCAGGAGACCACTCCCACCATCACCACCACCACCATGAACAGCCAACTTATGAGAGAACCGACTCCTACGACAGCACTCACTCCCCCGACGCTCCACTGTATCCCATGGCATACCCATACGCCCCCGAGAGCAGCTACCCAGCGCCCGCTGCCGAATATTCTTACACTCACCCCCGCGGCCAATACCGTGAATACCCTACTAACGCGTCTTACAGAACAGAGACGTACACTGAGAGTAGCTCCTACGGCGGTGAACATAGTACCTACGAAACCTCTACTCACCAATACCCTGGCCGCTACGAGACGAGAGAAGCCGTGTACAGTGGTGAAGGTGACGAGGGGTATGTAGTCGAGCGAAGTTACAAGAAACATAACGACGGAGAGGAAGAGCACAAGTACAGGAGTTATAGACGCGGCGAGGGATCCGAGGACGAGGAAGAAGAGGAAGAGGAAGAGGAAGAGGAGAGGAGAAAGAAGGAGAAGAAGTGGAGGAAGAAACATGAGACCAGAACGGATGAGGGGAGTGGGGATGAGTATTATGGAAGTGGGGATGAGGATGACGGAAGGAGGTATAGTGGGAGCGGTAGTTGTAGTGGGGATGAGAGGAGGAGTAGGAGGTATTCTTAGGTGTGTGCTGGGTCGGTGGGTGGGGTTTTGCTGGCTTTGCCGGAACGAGATGTGAAATCCTAGCCGTTTTTTTTATTCTGATATGGGTTACGAGGAATGGAGGAAGCAAGCAATAGAATCGTGTTACCGTATTTGGGTTTTAGGCAGCCTTTTACGGGAGGTAATTGCGGTCTCTCAAGAAGGCAGCGTGAGGCCCCTGCTCGGGCTATATTCGCTTCCCCGGGAAAGTACCACGAGTGATCTTTGATGAATCTTATACCATCACTGCACACTTTGGCTGTCCGGAAAGAAAACTCAAACTTTGGTCTCATCATGTTGCCCCCCCCCCCTCCCGAAAGTAATACTGGCGAATATCGCTACTGCTTTACTCCTGAATGTAACTTATCACACCCTCAAATAAGTATATCCTAGACTAAACCCTAACCGATCTATTAACGCTTAGCAATTCGAAACCACGTGGATTTTGTGAATAAGCGGAGTGAATTAAAGCGCTGTACAGTACCGCACACCGACATAGCCCCTTCCTTTGTTCGTACCTCCTATCGTGCTTATCCTCTGGAAGCACATAGTTGAGAATAGCCTGCGTTGGCACTCTGCTAATTACGCCAAACCTGCGCCGTCCCGGCACTCCTCGGCGATCGCACTCCAACCATAGACGCAGGTTGGTGGGTGTAACAATAATGTCTCGAGTAGTTATAATAATAATAATGAGATGGCTATTTAAGAGAAGTACAGGATGCTGCGTTGCAGAAAGTGAAGAATCAAATTGTCTCCCAATTTTCAGCTCAGGCGCGGGTCTGTGGATGGGATCGGGTTGTGATGTTTGTGGGTTGGGTGTAAGATGAGTTCAGGTTCAGGTTAAAGACTGGGTTTTCAGAATAGCGTCACTGGGGCTCACTCGACTCCTCAGAAGAGCGAGTATGATCCCTTCTTGATAGGGGGCCCATGGGGGGTGGGGGGTTTTAAGGAAACACGTAGAGGGGAGATTCATTAGATTTTGGGTGGAAGGGGAGCTCGGCACCGCGTTCATAGGTGTGTAGAATGATGGCCGGCATGGATAGTATCATTATTACGTGGTGTCCTGTTCGAGGCTGCGGTAGAAGTTTGCGGGCGACGACCTCCGCCGGTGTTGGGCGATGTTTGTGCTTGGTGCTGTATAAATCTAGAGCACCGTAAGATATCTTCTGCATTGGTCCGTGATACCTCTGTAAAGTATAAAGAGCACGGAGATTTTCAAACACCCTGAGGTAGATACGATTAAACCTACACAATTTTTTTTTAACTATCAACACATACAAAACTCGTGGAAACTGGGCTCCTGTAATCGGTAACAGAAAATATAGTAGGATATCTCCACCGAGTCGTATAGTTTCCGCAAACTTCAGGCTATGGGTATCTCCAAGAGTTTGAGTGGAATCAACCGAGGCTAAAGGAGGCTCTATATCTCGAAGGGGGTTCGGTTTGGTTCTAATGCTCTGTATCAGAAAATCCACCCTAACACCTTGTTTGATTTCTCGTTCCTGGGCCACGTCCATCGGGGGTTGCTGCTCGAGCACAGTGTTCGGGAAGAGTGGGATTTGAAAAAACAGTTTTCTCAGAGTCCTAGAGCCCCGAAAGCTAGCAGTAGACTCCGTGAGCAGGGAGGGGGGGGGGTGGCGTGGTATTTACGTGCTAGTTGAAGTGGAGGAGTTTGGAGAGGTTCTGTGAGATAGGAATAAAGCGGGCAGTTCCTAAAATAGTGTCATTGTGGATCACTCGAGGTTTTCAATTGGCGTAGGGGAGGTGCGGAGGTGATGATGATGGTGATGACACACTAGAATGCCTTAAGCTGGGATGATCGTTTGAGGCTGTCCGGGGTCGGGTTTTGCTCCGCCCGCAAGAGCAGAAATTGAATGTGCGGGTAAGATAGCAATGTGATGGAGATAGATAATAGCTTGAGTTTGGCTGAAAATCCTAGGATGATAAGATGGATGTGAGACTTGGTACCGGGTGCTTGGCGCCCCGGATATTTGCGTAATACTTTGCAGGCGCGTGCGGTATAAAGCTGCATGGGACAGCCTTTTTTTCTCAAAGCCCGGGTCACACTCAAGACCAGTACCCATATGATCCTTAGCGCAAAGAATATACAGTAGGGTGGATTTCTGCAGAATAATTACCATCTCCACAGTCTTATTTATGCAGAGCCAAGGTCCAATAGGTTGCAGTGGGTTTCATATCAAGAAATCTGTTGGTTGATCGCAGTGACGGATGGATATACCACTCTCGACACTAGATGGCCCGGGGGGGGGGCTACCAGCCTAAGCTGTTCTCACTTACACATAACCCGGTATAGAGTTTATAGGTGTCCCCTCGACGGTGATTCAATTATGGGTTCGGAAGGACCGAGTAATCCATAAAGGTCTTGAGGGCGGTGGCCTACCAATCAGAACCTAAAACTCTCCAATGACAAACACTCAAATTAGTTTGACAATCTTCCCCTCATCTCCCATGCCCGGGAAAAGTGTGAAGGGCTGTCAAGTCATGTTTTTTTTCTTTTTCTTTTCCGTGATCGTACATGACCCTTTCCTAGGAATCGTTAATCGCCCCGAAATGGTACGTGGTGTCTCAGAGACTACCGTCGTGTCGCGAACTTTACCAGAGTCGGTACAAGTATCCTACCTCCATGTCGAGGTCGGACTTTCCTCACTTCAGTCCGATCTGGCCCAAGGGGACGGGTTTCTCGGAGCCTGCTTTACAGTTCGTGGAGGTGATAGGTCTCACCCTTGATCCCCCGTGCAATACCACTGCAAGACAAGGGTGTCTTGGTGCTAATATCGGTGTAAATGGGAGCTGTGGTAGTGTAGCTCAAGTTCCCGGTATGTTGACCTCCTCAAGGGCAATTGCGACCAGGAAGTATCAGCTCCAGGGGTGGCGCCGAGCACCACACCACGGGAACCAGCGTGACATACCCTACCCCTTTGTTCGTCACATTTGCTTGAATGTCTCGGGGGACTGAAAAAAGGAGAGGAAAGGGTTTGAATTGCGTGATTGGATGTCGCCTAACTGGTTGTGAGATAGGAACCGTGTACTCTGTACCTGTATCGCACAGCATCAAACTCCATTGGGGCTTAAGACCCGGGGGCCCAGGGCTGAGAAGGTTGCCACAAATACCGTAACGCTGGCTAGAAGCACCTGCTAGGTAGTGGGAGTAACCGCGCGTTCAAGAGAGAGAACATAACTCCCCTCGGTCTCAGGTCAGTGCACTGTAGGAGGGGTTCAGACAATGTTATTAAATCCCGAAATTCCCCCCCACCAACTTCGTCGAAAATAATCAAATTTTCCCTTTAGTCCTCAGTATGCAAAATGTGTTCCATCTTGGTGCTAACAAAATAGTGACCAGAGAATGGCCCAGGAGGATAAACATAGCAAACCTCAAGGCCAAATCAATTGCATGCACCAAGCAGAACAGCGGACCCCCGATATAAGAACCTGCCACACAAGAAAAACCTCTATCAAACGTGGGAGAGGCGAAGGCAACAGCGACAGCAAAACGGCGAAACGAGACACCAAAATCTCATACACGAAACGATCGCACAACCCGGGAGAGGGGAAAACTCTTCACCTCAGCCACTCTCCTCAACTAACAGTAAAGACAGGAGTATATATCAACAAGAATAGCAACCAAGTCCTGTCCTTCCAGGCATGCCTCCCACTCACTTGCAAACAAACGCTAACAAAAGAAAGACAAACCCCCACCGTCCATACCCTCCGGACATCTGATTTTCCTGCCTTTCCTATTTCCTTCCAGTGGATGCATAAATCCAATAATTCCCGCGCTCTCCCGCAGCCAAAGTGCTTTCCCGAAAGGGTAAACTGCGCCCGAGGCCAAAGTACGCCCGAAACCGAAGTGGGCTCCCAGAGACTATGGGAACAAACAAGCTATAGTGAGAGCATGCCGAGCAGCACCTCGCGATTCCCAACAACCCCTATACCAGTAATCCAATCCCATACCAAAGGCCCCACTCTAACCAGAACTCTCTCTGATAAAAGGAAATTCATTTTACAAATAGGACACCCCCAGCTCCCCACTCTTTCCTCACACTGCAACTCTACCGTACAACCTAGTCTGGTACTAGTGAATGCCCCCCTAGATTACCGACCATAGTAAATGGCTGTCACCGCATTCAAGTGCCGTATCTATTCCTAATGATATTGGTTATTCTTTGGGGAAAAAAAGAAAGAGAAAGACCAAAGGAGAGAAATACTCACCATATCTCAGCCCTAACCCTCTTAAGACAAACATTCGGGAAACTGCTAATAGACCCTTCACAACCCCGGGGAATCAATTGGGCATCCAAAGCAACCAACAGCCAATGAAACATCTCTCCAACACGATGTGAGCCCGGCTCACACCGTCAGATTGGAGATATCGGGTGTTCCTAATACACAAGAACTATCTTGCGTAGGCGGAAATGGGTGAAAATTTTCTATAAAGCACGCCCATATTTGGCGGTGTAAGAAATAGATTATTCTTAAATGAATTGAGGTGTAGTCTGAGGGGTAGCCCGAGGGAGATCACCCCGGGCCTGAAATGTTCTTTGATTGTCTATATACAGAAAGTGGCCATGTCGGCAGAAAGAGGGGGGGCAGAGAGAAGATGGTCCGAAGGAGGGGTATTTATACCCCGGAAAATCCCAGTAGTCACGCACCGTCAGGGGTAGCTTACGCAAACCCACCTATTTCGTAAGCGTCATCTGACGCGTATGGTCAGACTTGGTTCAAACGCCTGAGCGAACTTAGATTGGAGCAGTTACATGGCCTTTCTCCCCCCACGGTATTTTTTCTTCCGCCAACTCACATGTCAGCTTCTACGATTTGTCAGTCATTCAGATTACCTATCTGGTACAAGACTTCCGAAAAGGTACAATAGAGCACCGCGCCCCCGCTCCCGTTAGGAGGGGGGAGATTGGGCCGAGTGCTATATTATGATTTTCTATCTTATGGAAAGTCAAGGGGTCAGATTAAGAACTCTCTTCCCCTTTTTTAAACAATAATTCTGCCATCCCAGTCAGTGCGACACTAGGGCAGAATGCGCTATAGGCTCCACAGAGCACCAGAGCATCCCCAGCTGCCCCAAATCCACTAACCATTCACAGAAAACCCTCTCATACATCAGCTACCATACCAAACAACCCTCTAGAAGACTCAGCCAATCAATAAACCTCACCCATCACTGCTCTTCAATCCCGATGCCGCCAAGTATCTTACAACTCGCTTATCTCATGACTCCCGAAAAAAGAGAAAAAAAAACAGAAACCTAACCCCGCTCGGTGCGATTGGGTCATATTCTCTTAGGCAAGTACAGATTAAGTTCAGGCTGGGCCAGAGAATTTAAGGTTTGGGTGGGTTGGATCCTGGGCACCCCTAACCCAGTTGACTAATCCACCGCTATCAAAAGGTTTGGAGTGATCAAATGGAAGAACGAGTATGTCAGAGCAAAAGTTGTGGGTGCCTCCAACGGCTTCCAGATTATGTTATAAATCTTGCATTGTATGAGCGTAGCGTGCTTTTACCTAGGCACGCTGCGCGCTGGTTTGTCCATCTTTGGTCTCTGGTGTCATGGGTGAGAAGGGACAGCGGAGGGTAGATACGCTGTAAGTCATAGATGGATCACGTGGTATGATTAATTGTTGGTAGATTATGTAAACGTGAAACCTGTGAGAGGGAAGTGCATGGGGGGGGATTCGGTTTTATTTCGGGAATGCACCTCATGCATCTCTTTGTCTGGTATTTAGACGGGGAGAGGGTGTGGAAATGATTATCTGCCGGGTTCGATTATATTTTGTTCTTTCCCTCGAGATAGTGAGGAACGCTGATATAACTCGCTGTGTAACTCCAATAGGGTAACCCAAGTTCCTTCGGAACTTTCTATAAGTTACTTACCTAGTTGGACATGGCGCCGAAGAGCTTATACATATCGCCCGCCACATCCGGGTGAGCTTTCATAAACAAAATTTCCATATCCCTACCCATCCCCGAAAATTGGCAAAAACATCAAGGGAATCGATGCTAAGGTGGCCCTCCTAGGCACCAGCTCCAGTAGCTTAAGCCCAACTATTCACGGACCTGAGCCAACCCCAAGCACATAGCCAAATACAATAGGTTGGCGATTCTCCAAAAGCCCCAGACAAGGCCTTCAAAAACAGCAAGAAAATTATACCCCCTTCAATTTCCTTTTTTGTTTTTTACATTTACCCCCGAAAAACTAGGCTCCGTCGTTCGCCATTAGTAAACACCCTGACGAAGAGAATACTATCATACATTAAACCCTCTCATCCAGCACCTGGAGGGTGGTGGAGATGTAGGGTAGCGCTGATCGGGTGTGTTGTATTGGTAGGCTGTGGGGGGGGGGGCTGGATTTTGGCTATCTTTGTGGGTATGAACGGGATGCATTTGAGGATTATGGTTAAGGTGTTTCGAGAGGTCGAGGGCAGAGTTTCCTAGATTGGTGAGCCTTGGCGCGTGCCAATCGGCTAATTTGTTTCGTTGGCTTCCCTTTCGACCCAAACCTCGTAACAACTTGAGTCGACCCCACCAGCGGGGGCTGGTTTGGCGGGTCGGTTCTCCGCACGATTTGAGATCGTTTTGACCCTGTTTTGCGGGGATTCCAAGGGAGGGTATCACGAGTGATGAAGGATGAGGATGTGTGTAGAATAGAGTGCACGATGGGTACGGTATTTGATTACTTTGCCATTCCCAAAATACCCTCTTTGTTCTCTCTGTTTGCACTTGTAATCCTTAATGCAGGCACCGGTATCACTCTCGTATTCGGCTATAAGAACTAATATCCTGGGCACTTGCATCCACTCGAGCCATCGGCCGCGTATGCTGATACGACACTAGATGGTTTCACAACACATCCCTGCACCTCAACCGCCAACCACGCTGATCAGCTGATATACCGGTACTCGAGTATACTGGTGTACATTCACCCCCCTTTCTCACTCAGCATCCTTCACCCAACACGCCACAACCAAACAAGATGTCGCGGAAGAAGGTGATAATAATCGGTGCGGGGATAGCCGGTCCAACCCTCGCTCTAGCTATTCTCAAGAATCCCTTGCTAAAGGAAATCTATGAGCCCATTCTGCTTGATCGACAAACTCAGGACACGTACGCTCAAGGCGCAGGAGTAGTTCTCTCTTCCAACGCATTACACCCGCTAATAAAGCTAGGATTGGAAGACGAGCTGTGGAAGAACTCGCAAGAGATAGCGGAGATGTCGATTTACCGGGAGAAGCGGTATTTAAACTCGATGGTCACGCCAAACTGGAGCCCTGATATAGGGGGGGGGACGGGGCTGCGGGCTATTGAAAGGGGGGCATTGATGAAGTTGCTCGTTGACCAGGTGTGTTCGAACGGCGGGGATATACGATGGGGGGCAAAGGTCGCGGATCTTGTGGCCAGGGGGGATGGGGTGGAAGTGGTGATAGAGGGTGACGCGAATGTTTTCGGAGATCTGGCTGTTGGGGCGGACGGGATCTGGTCTGTTGTTCGGAAGTCTATTATCGGTGAAAGTTGGAAACCGACATTTATGAACTCGAGTGGGATTTATGGGATTTATACGCCGGAGGAGGAAACACAGTCATCACAGGGGCATATAGTTCTGTTAGATGTTGCTGGTCTTTCGACATGGCCACTCCCGGGTGGTAAATACTTCTGGACCATCACTGTGCCAGAAACTGCTCCGCCAACCGGAAAATCGACGATAGAGCAAGCTGCCGAATATCCGAACGCGACGATAGCCACCGGAGGCTATCCCTTGTCAAGTACCCTTGATATCCTTTCTCGCCTATCCGCCACCCCCCACCCAACCCTCCCGGGAGGGGTCTGTGCGGAACTCTGCCAACGTAGCTCCCGAATTGTTCGTACACCCCTGTACCAGCTCGTCTTTGAACAGTCACAAATCGTGAATGCCACGTCCAACGTTGTTCTTGCCGGAGATGCCGCTAGAGTTATGCTTCCTACAAGCGGACAGGGAGCCTGCATGGGTATCGAGGACGCAACTGTTCTTGCTAACTCGCTGCTCAATAATAGCAGCATCGGGAGTGCCCTAGCAGAGTATGCTAATTTACGCGTTCCACGGTCAAAAAGTATCGCTAGTCAGGCTTATTGGAGCGGGATTGTATATATGGCGGATCGTTGGATAGTCAGGATTGCAAGAGACTGGTTAGTGAGTCTTTTACCGAAGGGCAGGGATGCTAAAGAGTAAGTCATGCTTTTTCCTTCCTCTATATTCATCTCCGGTATCGGCTTTGAGAGAGAGCTAATTGTGTTTCGTAGGATGTGGGAGAAGGAAGGGAAAGTCCCAAGGGACCCTATGGCGTGGTTGTATAGTTTGAGGTTGGAGGTCAAAGTAGAGGATAAGGAGGGAGGTGCAGGGCAGCGCGCGACTAGCATGGCCGAAAAGTCCTCTTAGCTGTACTAGCAGAAATAGATGGATTCAGCCTAAATACCCAGTGTACAAGTACAGTAACTTTGACGGGGAATTTGGAGCCCCCGTATAAATGGTTCCCCGAACCGAGCTCGTTTCGGAAATCCTAGATCCCTAGGCCTAAGAAAAATTTCCGTTGGCACAAATCCAGTCAAAGTGATCCTATAGGAGCTAGCTATTTCTATTCTTGACATACTTTTGAAACTCATGAAGTGCCTGCAAGACAACTATCAATGCCAGCAGCAAATTGATACTTTTCTCCACCACCACCACCTCTGCTAGTAACCCAAGCAAAAATAAGGGGAAGAGAGTAAAATTATGGCATGAGCTAGTGGCTACCGTATTACCACTGAATAGGTATGATCTCGATTCACCTGCAGTCGAATATTTACCCTGCAAACAGATGAAATCGTCGTTGGAGGTAAGAAACACAAAGGGGAGGAAAAATCCTCGCGAAAAGCAAGGCGAAATCTAGCCTAGAGGGGGAAAAACCGATAGCAGTGTCAACGGAAGAGGGTCTTCCCATATCCCCCCCTCAAGGTGACTAAAAGAGAGAGCGAGAGTGATAATGTATGAAGTACAACCACTACAAACTCCCAAGGATCTCAAAATCCATTGGCTACCATGTCTATCATCCAGCAGACCCCACGGAGCGTTCGGGCCCTTCCGGGGAAATTCCAATCAATTAATCAGACTCCGAGAGCACGGCGAACTAAAGTTTGCGGGTGTTAATCAGCTGTACCCAGTAGGCAAAAATAATATACACGGAGAACACACCCCTCGCACTTTGCTCTCTGCTAGAGGTTTAGGACACCGGTGACTAATAGCCGGTTCTCCTTCTATTTCGCTTCACTCATAGTCGGCAAAAGAAAGTGCTACTTGACTTCTATATATATATATATATAGGGTGATAGTTTGTGACTTAACTCCATAAGAAATGCTAATTATGTATACAACGTAGTAGTGGAAAAATTATACACAAAGTTATTTTATTTCAATTAAAGTCTACAAGATACGGACAAAATTTCAGAGTAAGAGGTTCATACTATTGGACAGTGGATTGGGTATGAAGATGTTATATGCCACGAGGGAAATTAGTTGGCTATTGTAGTGATCAGGACTTGGCTGATGGATCAGACTCTGATCCTTCGCATATTTCATTAGATTCTATTACGGGAAGTCCTAAATTTGTAGTTCCTCTACCATGGGGTTAAGTCACAAACTGTCACCCTATAAAAGTAAAAAAAAAGCTGTGTCACTGCCACACTTGCTCTTGCATCAGAGAAGCGTTATGATACCGGTTGTGATGGCATAACGCTCATTCACCTCAGAGGCCCTCCCAAACACCTCTACCTAAGGGTCTCCAGTGTTATTTTAAGGCTGATGGAAAAGCCCCAGGAGAAAGCCCCTTCCTAGGGGAAAATGTGTTATCATGCTGTAGAGAGAGCTCTTCGGATATATGTATAGGCTGGGTTACTCACTGATAATTCGGTTATGAATTTTTTGTTTCAATATCAAAGACTGACGGCATACGGTATTGGTGCCGGTTTCGTTTCCCTTAGATGGTGTGCTATTAAGTACCAAGCCCCGAGTGTTTGTATCTTCTGTCTCGCCCCATCCGGCACAGGGTATTTGCATTTTTTTTCTATTTATTTTTTCCACTATGGTTGTGAATTGTTCAGGATAATTGCTGGTCGATCATCCGCTCTCTCAGTGTTTTTGCCGAGTTTCTAGAGCTTGCAGTGTTTATTTGGACTCCTTGGTATGCTATGGTTTGTGAGGTCTCCTTCGGTTTTTCATAGTTGTTAGTTTAGCAGATATATCCCCCGTCCTGCCCTTAGCACCCTATCGATCGCCCATTTGCGCTTGACTCACTGTTACCGTATCTCACTCGCCTCGCCTCATCTTCGCCTCTTCCATAGACACTCGGGAGTGTCCGCAAAAATCGGAAAAATATAACTCTCGCCTCCATACCGTAAGAACTCGAATAATTGAACCTCGTGCTAGAACGTTCAGAATTCCCTCTCCTGGATAGGGGGCCGAGAGCACAGCGAAAACCGACTCCCTGAGCCCCTGCTTGAGATGAAAGAAAAGTAAAAAACACCGCACCATACCAGCAGAGGCAACACCGACGTCCTAGCTCCAGGTTCAATTATTCGAGTTCTTACGGTAGATTTTTATGGGGCTGGGAGAAATCGATTTGCTATTTCTACTGAAATCACCCCTCAGTGGGGTATTGCTGAATCGCTCGGTTGTAACGCTTGCTCGGTTGATAAAGTGACCCAATATCTGCTAAGTATGCTAGATTCGATTTACACCTCCATAGAAAAAAAAGACTTGACCGGTGAGATCAAGAAGCGCTCCAAAAAGCTCTTAGTCCCTTGACCAGAATCACCTTTGATGTTAAAAGTAGGTTCTCATTAGAACAGGGTAAATCCCTGCTCCGTGCGGGCTACTCGAGTGCAAGCACAAGTACTCGTACCGGTACAAGTATGATCTCACACCCTGCACGTGTATGTCTACCGTCTTGGGAACCAGTGTCACCAGGGTTAGGGCTGTCGTTCTGGTACTCGCACAGGACCAACTTCAAGACTACCGGATGCACAGTACCCGTAAAATCTCGTGAAATCCACTACCCCCGGCAGCCCCCTGAGAAAGATTAGCGCTTTCCCGACATAGTAAAAGATCGGCCGGCTAAGTGTGTTGGATCTCGCTCACCGGTATTCGCAATTCTGGTAACATGTAAAATTAAACCTATAGTGGGATGATAGGCTACCGGAGATAGTGGATTTCACGAGAGTTTATGGTACAGTACGCTACGAGGATGGCGACAAAAAAAAGATGAGCAGTATAACGGTCTTACACTGAAAACAGCGATGTTCACAACCTGCGAACCACCAACCCAGTGAACAAATCCAGACCAAATTCTCACCTGTGAAATAATCCCCCAGGTATTACTTCCTAACCCCTTAGAACTCCGTGTCTAAACCCGCCCAGGAATTGCGAAGAGAACAAAGGTTGGTCCATTGGTCTTGGCGTATTTCGCAAAGATTTTCTATGGGGAATGGGCTGGGTTGATGCTTTTCTTAGGCCCCAACCTCACTACATTGCTTACCAAAGCAGCTAACAACCCTTTAGTAATCTGTGGGTTATTGGAGAGATATTTGAAGGAATCCTGGTCCATACCATCAATGCCTCAAAAAAAATTTAGAGCTTTAGAATTTATTGAACGGAAAGAGTGAAGTAGTATGGTTCTCAGTTGTTACATACCGTTCTACCCACCTTTTTGCCAGCCCAGCATTCCCCAGACCGACCCGTCCAGCTCAGGAACGGCGGTTAGAAGTCTTTATTCGCACATATGGTGTGCGAGCACTAGTACAGGTGCCCGGGTCTGCCCAATGTTTGTGGAACCCCCTGAACCCGGGTAGGCATATACAGTATAGGGTATGGTTCCAGGAAACAAAGGCTGGGGGGTAAAAAATCTGTGCGCACTTGAACATCGGTAAAAATATACTTCCAACTGTTTTCCGGGCACTCCCTCCCTGGAACACGCATCGGATAACAATTTGGCCTCCCAGAGCACCTTCTGACAGTACCGGGATCCCCTCTCTGTGGCCGTAACACACACCCACGGGAATACTACCGGCGCACCTAGATACAAGTACTCGAGCACAACAAATAGCGCGGGGTGGGTGCTCGAGTACCGTACTAGTACTTGTGAAGTGCCCTCGTGCATGGATACCAGCACACCGGGGATGGTCATCCCCGCGCAAGTTGTCAGCACAGCACGGCACAGTACGTTACAAGTACAAGTACTCGAGGTGAACACAGCCTTGTCAATCCTTGCTCGAGACCAACGCATCCGGCTGTCCCCAGATAAGGTAAGCGAGTACTGGTACAGCCTCAGCCTTGTTTGTTTTGCGATGCAACCCCCACGAGACAAATAGTGGACCTCGGCGTGCAGAAATGAGCCCTCCAACCTTCACACGTCTACCAATTACGCCTCTCAAGTACGGTATCGTACGGGGTACAATTCAAAGCTTAGAGATTTCTCTCAAGTTTTGTACCCCCCCGGATAAGTCGGTTGCCATGTCAGGATGAAATTCACCAGAATCCCCACACCTTGCCACCCCGACTTACGGCAGCCCACAACAAGGCGAGAGCGCTCATAGGCCACGATGCTCATACAGCCCCTATATAATAGGTGTCATTTGCACAGGTATTCTTGTTATACTGCGGGCCCACTCTTCCGTTAGGCGCCACGAAGGCACGTTAAACCACTACGTGGATAGTGATTGTGGGAGGAACAATAGCGGGTCACCTAAGTTACCGAGAACATGAGAAGTTATAGTGAAAAAGCCCAATCACTTGCCCAATCGACGCATCCTCAGCCTTGGGACTGGGAGTCTAAGTCATATCTCACGGGTACATGCAGGTGTTGCAAAACAAGTACTGTGCTAGTACCAAATGGATAGTTCCGAAAGCCTCGCATTTCCCATGCTGCCAGCGCTCGAGTATCCAAGTACGATACACCAAAACACCTAACGGTATACTGCAGTAGCACAGTGGGAGAAATGTTAAACTACCGTATAGCACTGGCAACATCCAACCTACCGGTACCCGGTAATACATGCTAACCGATGTCAAAGTGCTCAGGTTAAAAAATCCCCCCACAATACTGGTACTACAAGCACTACAGCCCGGTACAATACTATGTCGGCTCCTAGCCTAATACCGGTAATCAATTTGGCAATGCGCGCACCAGGTCCTGCGCTCCAGTAACCAGGTTCGTTGTTCGGCTAAGAATACCGATACCGGTACCATAAGTTAAACTTTGTTTCTGCCTGCACCTCCTGAATCACTACCGTGGAAAGTAGTTCCGAGGACTATTCTCCCCTCAGTGCCATCACATACCCCATACTACTCGAGTAGTAGCCCTGTCAAACCTGCATCGCCTCCATCGTAAGTTCCTTACACTACCGTGTTAAAAGCAACCATCTAAGACAATTTGGAATGGGACTGTCCGCCGTGGGCACCACTCTGTTGGAGGCAACCCCGAAAAGGGTGTTGTGGCACTGGAAAATCCTTCATCGCGACGGATTCGGATTCGGATCACCCGTCGGCGTTAAAAAACTACGGTCTGGTGTTACGGCTGGTTGACTTTTTATCCTTTACTTTTTCTTCTTCATTCTGCAAGTACTCGTGCAAGTGCTACCGTACGGTACTCATATCTAGGCCTGCATGATTACAAAAAAAAGGCCCTAGCGTTATTAACGTAACACCATTCATACTTGTACCAGAGTTGGATAGTGAAAATATGACATTTTCGCATTCTCCCAGTTCAAGAAACAATATTTGACTCCCAGATGCCGAATATGCACCCCCCTGAACCGGATAACTTACTATAGAAACCTGTAACAGATCCCGTTGAAAAAAAAATGATAGGAAAGCACAACCGCCAAGGGCACATTAATGTTGGTAATATCGTAAACCCTCCCCCCACCTAGGTTTGGCCATGTACGAGTACATCCGGCAGCTCGCGTTCCACTATCTGGTCCTCATCAAAAATGGCTGCCACCGGTTTTATTCTAAGAGTAGCAATGTATCGAACCGCCTCCATAAAAATCAGGATAACGAGTGTACCAACAGCGGCATAACCCCCCCCTGCAACGGCATCCAAAAGCTGCCACCTGTGCAGGCTTCATGTTAGCAGTATCATAAGGTTCTAGGAAAATAAATCGTACCCGATCTGTTTCCCGTTTCCATTTAGACCACCGCCTGGGATAGTTGTATATCCGTCGAGGTGAGCAATATCGGCCCTGCTGTTCTATTAGATCACGTCATCGGTATGTACGCTCAGCCCAACCTACCGTGCGAACACACCGGTTAGGAACATCCCAACGAAACCTGAGACCCCGTGGATTGCAAATATATCGTTCAAGTCATCTATATATCTGCTAAATGCATTGGCAATGTTCGAGAAAACTGCTCCCGCAACCCCGAAAAATATAGCAGTATGCAATGGTACCTAAAAATCTCCGTCAGTATAAAGGCTGTGAACGACAGAGGACGAAAATAAGTTTATCATACGTAACCAGCAGCTGGTGTAATTGTGATAAGACCAGAGATGACACCATTACAAAAGGCAAGAATTGATAGTCTTCTTGGTAAGAATTTCTGTCCCGAGCATCCTTGGGGCTCACGCTCGGGGTTGTATTTGGAGAAAAAGTATTCCCAAAAACACCACGTCAGTCCGCCTGAGCATGCAGAAAGGTTAGTGGAAATAAGAGCGGACACTGTTCTCAAGTTGACTCCTAATGTCGAGCCTCCGTTGAAGCCCATCCACCCTATCCAGAGCAAGGTCGTCCCAAGCAGGACGTGGAAAACATTGTCTGGGTTTTCATCGTCTGGGGGGAAAGCGGTGGCTCTTTCAGGGAATTCCACTCCACTCGGGGCAGGTATAACGTTAGGGCCACGCAATTCCTTGTGAGTTTCCGGTTCGTGACCTTCCTCAGGCTCACTTTGGCGATTCCGCCCCACGGTCCCTTGCCTAGTAACCAAGACCCACTTATTGAATCGGTATCTCCATCTAAAAAATACCGAGTACACCCCAGCACTGAATGCTCCACTCATATGGACTGCGGTCCCACCAGCATAGTCCAGTGCACCCAGTTTATTGGACCAGCCTGACGGACTCCATGTCCAATGTGCAATAGGTGCATAGACAAAGGTAGCCCAGATGAAGATAAAGACCAAAAAATGTCCTATTCGGAACTTTTGTACGACAGCTCCACCTACCAATGAAGCGCTAAATAAAAGTCAGCAGGAGCCAAAGAGCATGGAATGCGTCCCCAAGTGGTCACCAACGTAAAAGAGGCGAATGCCCCATGATATAGAGCAAAAAGTAATTCTGGGATAGGGGGCCCTTTCTGGTTCCCGACTGGTCTGGTAAGGACCTTATTCAGAGCAATTCCCTCAATACTACCCCAGAGTGGGTTGTCTGAACGTCCAAAAGCTATACCGTAACCTACAAGATACCACTAGTATTATCGGGGTTACATTAGTGTGACTTCGCCGAACCAACCCAGACTGTAATTGAAGTCGTCAACTTACCTGTATTCCTACCACAGACATTGCCAGAAACGATATCCAGATCATGGACATGGCAGATCTCCGCTTTGATATCCCCGAATGAAAAAAACCTATTCCAGCCGGCATGAGCATCACCAGAATAGTACAAATTAACATCCAAACGACGTCTGCGCCCTATAAGATTGGTTAATTTGTATACAACATGAGTCAGCTTGCAGCTGGGAAACCAAGAGTTTAAGAACCTGAAACCACGCCATCGGATCGTGACCGATCTCCTCGGAGTTGGTAGCAACATTTAGCTTTCGCTCATTGATAAAGTCGAATGTGTATTCACCACTGTCCGCCATGTCGACTTCCTAATACCGATTGAAAGGTATGGGTTCCCGAGAAGTGGTGGCCACGGGAACCGAAGCTTATATCCCCCGCTCTGAAAACGCCAGCATCGGAGGCAGCCGATTCGTAAAAGCACCACGGATTCATGCACCGATAGACTCAAGGATAGCACCCTGGGTGGACAGGGTCAATGTGGACGCAGGCCTCAGCTCTCCAAACTGTCTCCGGGAATCGGCCAGGCATGCCGGGTGCTCGAATACCTTACCCAGTCATCCCCCCCCGCACAAGGCTCCAATTTTCTATTAACAATCAGATGGGATACGCCTTGTAAGTTGCCGGCATGAGTTAACCTTGTGATTCTCCTGAATGAGCCTTACTGGCCCCTTTCGCCGATCACCTAACCAGCACTTTGTTACACCATCCTTTTCTATCACCGTACTGCGACATATGGTACCGGCGCTGCGCTGCTTTCCTCTAGTCCAATCCTAGCAGAGCTAGGCCCCATAGAGGATGTGCGAAACCAGGCTGTAAAAACACTCTGGGCTACTCACCAGACCAACGGTGTTTACCAATGTCACAACGCCGCACTCTCTACGAGTAGTGAGACACCCTACATCATGGCAAGACCCGTTCGCGGTACAAGCAAATCCCATGGGGCCAATAAAAAAAATATAGCTTATCGAGGTGAAGCGGGGGGGCAAATTCCCATTCCCCCACGGCGGGATAAAATATTCGGCCCGGACTGTACTGTACTTGACGTGTACTGGTAGATCAACTAGTCTGTTCGATCGCATAGGAATCCGTATGTTAAGGAAAACGGATCGTCCCATCACCTCGCCTTGTGTCCCGGGAACCGCTCCCCACTCCGCCGCACTCATAGATAAAACCCTTTACCGTACTCCTTGAAGGCCAACCTCAAATCCCAACCCAAACAGAGCAAGACCAATACGCCGTGCTAGGCGTGCTACGGCCCTTAAATCTTTACCTCTTTTGATCTTGCGTAAGTATCTAAGCTTTATGATTCGCCTTTCAACTTTGTGTGGTACGCTCATCTAATCTTGGATTTCTCTTTGGTAATAGGAAACCCAACCCAGGCCCCGACCTTACACAGTAAGTCGGCTACAAATCAAGGACGCAATCAATTACCCTAACACTCGAATAGAGAATACCACGTTACCGAAAGTCAATACTATACCTCCCGAGGGTATAGTGAAGCTCATTAACGAGCGAGCCAGCAGAATATAAACCCTCGTCACACTGACAAAGGGGCCTACCACCGTACGTGTGCTACAAGCATTTGTTCGTTAAGTACGCTGTAAACCCTGAAAAAAGACTATCCCGCTGAAGCAGGATCTGATCTCTAACAATTGGGCAACTTGGAATGATTCCATTAGAACCCCTCCATCCAAGCAATACAAGGGAAAGGCTCCGCTTCAGGGGAACGATAACCAACATTTGCGGCCACAACCACCGCCATCGAAAGCGCTTTTCCCGCGAGTTCGAGTTAAAAGCCCAGCACGTATGACAACTGATTCTGAAAATGGCGGTCCATCCGGGACTTCCCCCGATGCCTCCGATCAACAGCCCACTATTCCTCCAAGAAACCAAAAAAGAAGGCAATCCAATTGTCCCCCCCCTCTTAGTTTCGATACTGGTAAGGAGCATGTACCGGACTCTATCGCACCTGAACCTCCCAACCAGCCACCCGCACGCGAGCTCCATGCTCAATGGGATCTTGAAATGGGCCTGACAAGACAGGGCGAAGATCGGACGCATTGTACAGTGCTCAAGGTTAATTCTCGGATTATATGCGAATTGTCTCGACAATTGGGGGAGGAGGTGGAGAATTCAAGAGTCGAACTGGAAGCAGAGAGCGAAACCAACACCTCCAAAGTCTCTATCCGAGCCAAAAATCCAGAAGCTTTGGCAGCAGTAATATGTGTCGTGCACGGAGCCAACCCGAACTGGAGGATCAGGTGTTTTGAAGACTTTGTGATTTTAGCGATGACCTGCCGGGATTTTGGATGCTGTACCGATAGCCTGAGGCCTCTCCTTAGGGATCGCCCAATGTTGTCGCCAAACGATCCAGACGAAGACCAGGATCGTATCGGGAAGTGGATATTTGCCGCGCTGGTTTTCAAATTACCGGAGACGTTCGAACAGGCTACCCATAAGATGGTCATGGACTTTAAGAATATCCCAGAGGATCCTGAGCATGCGGAGCTTCTCCCGGTGGATTTGAGGAGTAAGTCCCATCCGTTTAAATAAGCAATGTGACCACACCACAGTTACTAACATGAGCGGGGAATTTCCACTACAGGAAATATAAGGAAAAAGGGGCACGAGATCCTAGAGGAGATAATGGTTTTTGTGAGAACCTGCGTGATCGAGTGTCTTGAGCAAGAGGACCCGGCTGGTGCAGGGGCATTCATAGCAGCGATTCACAACTCTTTGAAAGGCGTGGGTTATCACCTCATCAATGGTGCGGCGGAACAGGGGGAAAACCAGGGGGCAACCCACCTACTTAAAGCCCTAGAAAACCTTCCACTTCAACCACCAGCAACGAATATCGGTACCGTCGAGATTGGCCTTTGCGTCTCGGAACAGGTGCCAGACAGTCCGACCGCAGCATCTCACCGCTCCGGATCCTCGAACTCCTCTAGTTCGCCAAACCATGCAAGGCCCATGCCCCCGAGGCGAGCAAGGGCGCCGCACGTGATAGCGAATGTGGCCGCGGATCTATGGGATAAAAGGGGAGCCCTTGCGGGAAAGATACAGACTCTTGTTTCTCGAGACTTTAGGAAAAGGTCAGACTTAAAAGATATGAATCAGAAAAAATACGTCGAGCTCGTGCAGAGCTTCCAGAAGAAACTCGAGGAGGAAAAATCCAAATGGAGCTTTAGGGGGCTTGAATTGAGGCAGTTCCAAACATCCACTGACAACCCACAAAGGCCCCCAGAGGCGGGGGCTGCGGAGGGAAATGGGACGCACTCGCACGAATGAAGCATGGCTACTTCTCTCAATGATGTCTATCATACTTATCTGAGGAGAAGAAAGACCCGTCCGGGTGATCCAACTCCTGTCACTGCTATCTATGAGTAAACCTTCTCCAACGCCTTTACCCTATGAAGTCTACTTAAAAACCCGGCTTAAAACTGTATGCAGTATCGCCCTGCGGGGACACCACCGGGGTTTCTCATTCCTTCCCCAGAGCGCGGACACCTAGCTAGGCAGTGATCCGCTCGAAAAAGAAAAAAAAATACCCGGGGGTGTAAGGTATACAGCAGTTGTCCACGTTAGAAAACCCTCGCTTCGTCTTAATTTCTTAATTTATACCAAATTCCTCAGTTTAATGCATCTTCTTAAATTCTCCCAAATAGCAGTAGCCGCGCCAATCTCATATCTCTTGTTTCTACCCTTTATTGTTGTCTTTTCCGCTCGCCTGAATAAGCATTATCAGGATTCGAGGAGAAATAAAATATATACATAAATCTCTCACAACTAACTTATATATTCCGGGGCACATATTTATTCATTCATTTTACCCCATAATGGATTTTGCTGTCTTCTCCCTCGAATATTCCCGATGCTGAGAACAACTGGGGAGTAATATCCGTTCGTGACGCTTACAGCCGCAATTAACCGTAGGATAGTACCGTAGTGAAAATGACAGAGCACAGAGGTGCCAGGATCCTCGGATCTGGGCACCAGCTCTTGGCATCTTTAGGTCTTCCGCGGACTGTCCAGCATCTCCGCTCCCGGATGATTGGTCGTCTAGCAAGATTTCAAAGAGAATGTGGGGAATCAGAATCCCCCCCCCCTGTAACATGCTCCATCACACCCATGAAACGAAGTTCTCCGGCACCTAACCCGGATCGAAAACACAATAAAAAACGCAACTAACTGCAGTGTTTCTTTCCCTCGACTCCCGCCCACAGGCAGGCATCACCTCAGGAAAGATGCCCCCTCTCGAGACCTACGTGGGCCAAATCACTCGCTAGTTTGTATATCAAGGGGAAAGATAATGTTCACTTCATCCGCCGCGGCGCAATAGTCGGGCGAAGTGGTCTACTTGTACAGCACGACCGGTATACTCCTCAAGTTAGGGAGAGCACATTGAACCATTCATGCGTCGACTGCCCAAAGTTTTCTCCGTTATCCCTCGAACCCTCCCTACCCAATGCCCCCTCAGGCAGCTGGGAATGGACATGTCATACAAACAACCTATATTCCGACCAAGATTCCCCACAAAGAAACAAGATCGTTAACCAGAATCACCTAACCCCACCCTAACCCATCCCCAGAAAAACATCCCCAATTAATACCAGGAAACGTTCAGGCAACCCCGGGAGCTATTGCATGAGGGGCTGAGTTACTTGTCGACCCCCAAGAGCGGAGTTTGCCGTCCACCAAAAATATGATACGTGAAATCGGCCTCCCAGTGATAGGCCACGAATCAAATAACAGGGTCCAGACAAAGCCCTGTGGAGCTCTTTTGGGGGCTTTTAGCGTGGCTGCCTGTAGTTGACAAAATACCTCAAAGCTAGAGCTGGAGCTACCTCATGAATGCTATTAGTAACCCATGAGCCCATCATGAAAAATCCACGACCCGGTCTCCAAGGCTGACAAATACCAGTTATCTCAACCGAGTACCAGTAATCCTACCTCTACGCTTTCTATTTCACTCCTGTCCAATTACACTTCCGGGTCCTATTTCATCCCCGAGAAGCTTCCCTCGCGCCCTGGTTTTGCGTTCACCATCAGCCACCCAACTCCCTACGGGAGTGGACCCACATGCCTACACGGCAGCGCTTTCTAACACAAGGTGAAACGAGCTACGATATCGGCGCGGTAATACACCACTCTAGCCCCTCTCTGGGAGAGCCCGGGGCGATTGAGACCTCATGCTGCAAGTAGTAACACCTCGCGAACCCACCCAGCGACAGAGTACTGTACGCTTCAAAAGAACGGGCTCCGGGAGCCGAGAACCAAATACCCCAAACCCCAAGCAACCTTTATTACATTACTATCATATCATAATAATATTATTATGTATGATAAAGATAGCTAGCTAGGTCTAAGGCCCAGGGGTTGGGCCGTGGTCGGATATCCCTATCATACCATATCATACTCTGATACCGGTACACCACATACTCTCCTTGCCCCACTCCTATATGCTACCCCTCCAACCCTCACAAGATTCCTCCAGAGCACTAACCCTCATAATTCCATTGTTGTAGGACCCCGTGAGAAATGTATCATATATCAATGGTTCAAGACCCTCCCACTAAGCCTGCTGGTGGAACTAATGTTTTCATCCACCGTTGGCAACAGTTGTGACCAGGTGAATGCTTAGCATGACCAACCCCCCCCCCCCCGACTTCACACAATAAAAAGACAACGGAATAGGTTAAAAGATAAGATAACCGTAAATATAGCGCACCCGAAGGTGAAAAGTGGTGGACTAGGCAACCAACAGAGAAGCTAG